AAGAGCTCCCTACATCTTTGTACTGAGTAATCCGGTGTTTGTCTGGGTTGATCACAATTACAGGTATTAACAGGGAGAAAAAAAGAAATTATACACCTCCCCAAAACAACTTCCTGCATTCCTCCTTCTAAACAAACCTATTCAAGTGCTTGTCCCTTCTAACTGGGTTAAAGTATTCTGTGCTTTTATGCAAACCGTTCTTGAAGCCCTTACTCAGTATTCACACAGCAGGCATGGGGTGCTGCCACTTGCCTTGCCTGTATAGTAGGTTCCTTTAGTCCAGCATTTCTGCTTTGAAAAGCTCCTCTTCCTTCATAAGCTTCTCTGCTTTTAATTGAGCTAGCTCAGGAGCACGCAGAAACAATTCTCCTTTAGGTACTTCAAAGCAAGAATCTTCCTATAAGCATTTAAATCTAATGCATCAATAAAAGCTGTTACACAAATTGTGAAACATTTTCAGGGGTTTGTACTACAGATTGTCTTCCGCAATAATTTAGAAGAATTTCTCATCAGAAACATGAGCTTGGGTCTGTGTAAATCTCTGTATCTCTTAGCTGGAAGGTAAGGGCTAAATCTTACGTTGACTAACAGCAAAAAGCAGGTTATATATTTTGGTTGTTTTATTTTATGCTCCAAATCTGCTTAACAGAGGCAGGCTTTTCATGTGTGTGCAGGAGATGGATTCACAAGGGGAACTGCCAGTTGCATGCACAGTTCTCTGTCCATCCCATTCATATCCTGGCTGTATATTAGATGGGTTTAAAAGGGGTAAGAAGTGGGAAGTCATCCTTCCAAGAGGAGCAGCAGGTGCTTTCAGTCAAAATTAGGGTTACAGGCAGCAGCACTGGCACAAACCAGTGAAGCCTGGCCACATCCATGGACTGATCACTGGTGTTTGCAAGATGTTGTTGTTGTTCTTCAGCTCCATGACATTGAGTCAGCGGTGAAGTGTGAGATCCATGTAGGGGCTGAGCTTCTGGCCTTTCACTGCAGGGAGCTGATAGTCCAGCCAGCAGGACAGAGCAAGGAAGGTCTCTGAGCCCATCACCAAGTGCTCATACAGGCCAGGCACAGTACTCTGCTGAATGGGACATTCAGGTGGACTTGGCCCTTCCACCCCATGGGGAGATGCTGAGCAGGAGGCCCTCTGACTTCTCTTCCAAGTAAGCCTTCATAGCAAAGGGCAATACCCACTGCCCAGACTGTTCTCTTTCACGAATACCAGGGTTTAGAGTTAAAACCAAGCAGCATGCTATGAAACATCTTAGAATTTACATCCCTGCAGCACCGGTAAATCACATATGAGGTGTGATCAACAGTCTCATCTGGTACCAAATGTGGTGTTGGGAATGGGACCATGCCATCAAAGCACTGGTGCAAACAAGAGTTTCTGTGTGCTGAGATTGCACAACTAGCACTCTGTCAGAGGAGCAAGGCCAGGCAGAGGTTCAGCATGACCTCCGCTTGACTCATATTTTTTCCTTCTGTTACCAATAAGAACTTTTTCCTCATGAGTCACTTTAAAACAGTTTGTGCATGTTCAGGGAAAAAAACACGACCCAAAGATTTTCCTGAGGAACAGTTTATTGGTGAGACAGAGCAAACCACTGAATGCGGTCAGGGACTGTTCTGCCTCCACAGTTGAGCTAATTAACTCTCAGGGCTATAAGTGAATGGGCTTTTTAGTGTCCTTTGTGTATGTTCCTTCATCTTTAATGTATTTTCCTCTAAACACATCAGTGAAATAAGCAAGCATACTATTCCATTTTCTGTATGTGTGTCTGAAGCTCAGGGAAATGAGGACCCTTTCCAAAAATTGCCAGTTTAGCAGTTAACCATCCTAGCATAGCATATGCTGACAAAACAGTGACTTTTCTGTTCTACTTTTTTTCTCAGGTAAAATAAGCAAAACCACATTTTTGGTACTGTATCTGTGACTTCCACGAGGTCTGCAATACCGGGCTTTCTGTCCCCGTCATGACTGCACTGCAGTGCCAAATTTGACCTGTGTGACTTGCTTGTGGCTGCACAAGCAAGAGGCAGGGAACTGTGGGCTAGCATTTTATCTCTGAGAGCTAAATAGTTATAATTTCTGAGAAGTTCAGGTCTCTGTGGGGAGCAGACATTAAGGTGTCCATTATATGTATTGATATTCAGAAGCTGGAATGAATTTGTATCCTGATGGTAGGAGTGATTTATTTTGTTTTGTCTTTAGCTGCAAAACGATTGCTTCTGGCTAACTCAGCCTGTGCTTCTCTTCTAACACCTTTTGGCCCTGCTGACCAATTTAAGCCAGTTTTGACAGATCAGCTGCAGGCTCAAAGGCAGTTAAGTTTCTGCAGGCTTCACAAAGGTCAGGAGTGAAGAGGAAAGAAACCTTAGCAATGCCCCACAGTTTGATCTCAGCCCTTACCAAACATCTGAAATGTCACAGTAGGAGCACTTTTTAAGGCTGCCCTGATGGCGAGACAAAATTCACTGGGAGTCACAGGCACCAGGAAAATCAATCGTGGAGGAGAAATCAGGTCTCATCTGAACTTCTTGTCACATTCATTGCCAGCTAGCAGCATGATTTTGCCTTTGTGTTCCTGATCTGGATCAGTTTATTTCTGCTGTGAGATCTGAAGGACTGGTGGCACCTCCATCCATTCCCACAGTCTGCTGTGGCCATAGTCTGTTCTTTCTCAGACTGACAGGCTGTAATCAGATTGAAATGTGGGAGTCTGGAAGAGGTGTCTGGGAGAAATTTACTGACAGGTGATTTTGAGAGGCCAGGTTAAAGGATTTAATGGTTCTCAATCTTTAGATCCTATACATCTGCAGGAAGGCATGCTGGCTTCTGGAGCACAAGACAGCTTTTGTTAGATTCCCATATTGCCCAAATGCATAGTCCTGTTTCCTGAATGCAAAGCAGTCTGTCTTGAAATGTTGTCACCATTTTGGGCATCTGAAATAGTGATTATTTCATTAAAAAAAAAGAAAAAAAAAGCAAAGCAAAAAGAAATGTTCCAGCTACAGACCTTTCTGTGTCAAAATCAATGGAAGAATAAGTGCCTAAAAAGTATGATAAGAAAGCCTGCTGCCAGCCACAATATTCCAATTACTGACTGTACAGTCTAGGAGAGTCAAATCCCATTTCTAAAAAGCTGCTTCTTGATGAACAGATTTTGACATGGCTTTTATTGCACTTCTTTGTATAAACTGGATACTTCAGATCAATTCAGAAGTTACAAGTGAAACTGCAGAAAATATAGAAAGAGAGCCAGCAGAACTGATCAGCTGCAGATGACTGGGCCAGGAGGACTCAGATGACTGGGCCAGAAAGAGCTCCGTGATGAGCTCCTTCCAGAACAGAGTCCAGCTCACTTCCAGCACCACACAGCCAGGTTTTTTATTCCACTAAACATCTCCTTCTCTGTTCCTCTCTCCATTGACCTTCCTCATCACCAGAGCAAGAGTTTCTACTGGAGTCTTAAAAAAAACCACCTAACTCAAAGGAATAAGGAAAAAAGGCCAATAATTTACCTATGATATACACCAATGGTTACTAAAAATGTAATTATATGTAATCAGCCATGCATGTCCAGTGGTCAGCTTTCCACAATGGTCAATGAATCTACTTTAGTTTCCCTGTAGGAGATTCTGTCTTGTACTGAGTAAGCATGTGCTCTTCATATTGCAGCAGCTGCCTGGGATGCAGGGCTTCATATTAAACATACTGCAGGTAATGCAGTGCAAGAGTGTGTCTGGAAGATGTAGATGTGGCTGTACAGGACATAGGATGCATGCTTAATTGCCTGAGTGGTCTCTTACAGTGTCTGCCCTGCTGAAAAGTAAGTTGCTGTGTGCCTAAATGACTGCAACTGAAGAAATACTACAGATGTGAATCAGAACCTGAAGGAATTTGAAAATTGCACGGTAAATCCTGAAATTATCATGACGTATGTATCAATTTGCTGTTTGGATTAAGCACCCACTGACTTTAGTCACAGTTTCATTTGAAAAGGGAGTTCGGAATAATCTGCATTTAGGAACTGTTTCGTTCACTACTGCAATAAAATTGCAGCTCGCTGTTAGTTGCCTCACCCTGAACATAAGCCTGTCACAGCTGCCAGCAGCAAGACTGAGCTGTAAATACGCAAAGCTCTATCCATGTTTCTTTATAGTCTTAAAGATGAGTATGTATACTTAAGTCTTTTAGAATGGGGATGTTAGTCCTTTATTGCAATTTGGAGGATCATACATCGTTCATAGAAGTGCTCAGTAGTGAAGATGACCACATTTGTGTTATAGCTAAGTCTGGAAAGCAGCAACTGTTTAAGACATATGGCACCCCTATTCAGCAATTTAGGATTCTAAGTGGGAGACCCCAGATGCAGTCCAATTCAGACGTCAGTCTGGCATTACCTATATTTGAATCTGGCTGGGACATACACTTTTTGCAGAAGGTGCTAACTAATTTCTAAGGGCCAAAAAGTTTCAATCAAGGTATTTTTTCCAGAAAATTCAGACTGTTGAAAAGAATAAATATAGATCACAAAGAGAAATATTTCAATTTGCAGATTGAATTTCACTGCAGTAGTCCTATTGATTTGTTTGTTTATTAATGGGGTTTTTAGGTCAGATGGTATACTCTGTACAGCTTACAGCCAGGACCTCCCTGTTGCCTCCCTGTGCTGACAGGAGATGTAAATGGTGCAACGTGGGGGATACAGCCTGACTAGACATCCTGGTGCAGGAGGAGAAGTGTGCTAAGGTACACATTCTCCTTAGACATAGGAGAAATATTTTCAAGATCTATTTTTTTAGTGTGTGTGTACATGCTGGGTTTTTTGGTTTGGTTTTGTTTTGTTTTTTAAAATGCTCTTCTCTACCCATTTTCCCATTTTCTGCAAAAGCATTTTTTTCAATAGAAGTCCAGGCAAGCCTTAATGTTCCTTTTTTCCCTACCCTTCCCCTCCCCCCACCCCAGTGAAGCTTACTGTTTTATTTTCCAGTCCAGAAGAACAGCTGACAAGTGCCTCAGCACTGCATGCAGCATTGGCTCTGCCCTTTGCCAGAGGATCTGAACCATTCTGTGACTCCCTTGTCAGTCCTGCATGTTCTCCAGGGCCACAGCTCCCCTACCTTGTAAGCGCCAACACGGTGATTGCCCAGCAGTGTTCTACAGAAGTGATATTACTGATATTCTGAATGTACATGAGTGAGAGAGTTTGTGGTTCCAGCTCTCTTACATCCGTCTCCTTCATCCACACAAAATTGTCTGCAGTACTGTAATACGTATTTAAGTGCTGGTTGCCTCAGCGTCGAGAAGTGTACCTGTCATTTTCCATACTTCATTGTCAGCTCCTCATAAAATACCATATTGTGTTTGCTCCTTTTCTTTGCATGAGTGAAGTGATATTGCACTGAAGTTACTGTCTTGCATTGTAAAGCTGCAGTCACATCTGTCTTGGGAACATGCCTTCGTTATTTACGCAATGAAAAGAGAGGGATTTTGGTTTCTCAAACCTCCTGATTCGTGCCCTGCCTAATAAGGTTCTTGTTTGCCTATCATTCCTCTGGTTTATGTGATGCTGAAATTGCAATGATACGAGGAGCACAATGAGAGCAGCTAGTGAAACAGCTTAAATTCAGGATAAAACATCAACAGGCATTTACGTTTAGTTTGTTTTCAAGGTACAGAATTCAAGACCTACAAAATAGCATCTCCTGGTGTGTGGACAGAAATGAAATTGAAGATATACACTCCTGACATCTGAGGTATGTAAATCTGCCTCCTGGCTTTCGGGTGTTCAAGGTGCAAGAGGGAATAGGTGCTCAGCAGGGTAAACATGGACTAAGCCAGAAATTTGGAAATGCCTTCTTCTCAAAGCCAGGCAGGAGGCGGGGATCCAAGCTGAGCAGGCAGAAGAGACAGGTTCCCTGGGGAGAGCGCGAGGGAGAGAGAACCAGCAAAATTCCCACCGGAACCTCTTTGTTTCTGTTGCCAGTAGTCATCACTCACCTGCAATAGGTAACAAACCAAAGCACCCTTTCTCCGAATCCGAAAGCCTCCATGAACGGACGGTCAAGCTCTACCACACTGGAAACAAAGTGGTAAGAAGGGCTTATCTAGAACAGGCATTGCAATGGCCAGGATCATTCTTACTTCTGTTCTCATCCTCTGGGCAGCCACACAACGGGGAAGGGGGAATGAGATTACAGGTGAGTAACACAAACCTGGTCAGAGGACCATGGCTGTTATGTAGAATGGCTTAGTTTGGATGTGAGATATCTCTTTATTTGAAATAAACCAACCAAGGTGTCCAGTCTCCATAGAACTGGCAACATCTCAGTGGCTATTTAAGAATCCTCTGCTGACAATTAAACACAGAAAATCCGACAAAGCCGAAATACCACCTTTGTCCCCAGGCAAAAGCCTTGTCATTTCCTTTGTGCCAGAAATGAATGAGTAGGATTGCATCTTTGTGTTCAGTAATGTGCAAATTTTGATGAAAATTCTCTTTAAAATTATCTTCTTGAGGAAATCATGTAGTAATGTACCTGGCAAATTCCTAGAGATGCATAAAATGAAGGTGTAGAAGACAGCTTTCATCTATGGTATGGGCTGTAATTTGGAAACCCCAAACCCAGTTGCTAGATTGTAACTGCTAAATTACATCCTAATTTGTTCTTAATTTCTGGTTAATTTCTGGTTCTAAATAAATAATATTTAGATGTGATTTTTGGCTGCTTTTTGTTGCATTTTTTTACTTAAGGGATTTTGCAAGTCTCAGTTAAAATACAAACCATATTTCTCAAACCTTAGAGACTTTCCTGTTATTCTGTCAAAATCACAGCTGAAAAAGCGGTTTCTATAGATTGGGGGTCAGCAGAACCCCCATTCCAGTGCCATTTAAAATCAGTGATGTTGACATTGAAAAGAATTTTGAATACCCATAAAAACTGAGCCCTTAATCCATTTTTCTTCATGTCTCTGAGCCTTCACCTTTTAAAACTGAATTATGAACCTGCTCCAAAAGATTACTTTTCAGGTTAAGCCAAGACAAGAAAGGGGCTTGTCTTTGGCTCTTGCTGTTCTCCTGTGAGATTTTACAGATCCAGCTCACAGTGGCTTTCCTGGCAGTTGAGTCCCGAGGTTTCCAGAACTGCAGCTAAGTGTGGCATAAATTCTATCAAGCACTTTTTATTGCTGACTTTTGTGATTGCTCTCTCAGTTCTGATCTGGGTTTGACCTTCAGTTATAAGCAGCCTGCTCCCATGCAGACTTTTCTTTCAGCCCTTCCTCTCAGTATTTGTCTCTATTAATAAAGTATTTGCTTTAATTGTTTGTGCTCTTGCTTGACATAAAATTTATACTTTTCATGATAGTGGAAAGCTCGTGGTTGCTAATTAAAAAGCCTCAAGTCCAGAGATGATAGGCATAATGTAGCCCTACTAATGTCAGTTGACTGCGTTCTCCTGCTTAGCAATTGACTTCAGCTTTGTGTTGCTGGAAACAACATTCAGTGCATTTTAATTCCATTTGATAGTGCCATAATCCTGTAGATGGGGGTAATGAGAACAGAAAGCCAATTTGCTAAAGAGCCCAAATTGATCTGAGCCATATTGCTCAGCAGGAAACTGCTGTCAGCAAATAATTGAACTCTGTGAGTGTCAAAGCTTGTTTTAAAGTGTATGGAAATGATGGAGGATGGTAAGGTTGGTGGTGCTGCACCGTTCCCTGTCACCTTCTGTCTAAATTCTTTTTATACCGCCATAGCCGTATCTGAAAGGTTCTCTTTTGGCTTTGGCAGCCTCATTCTATACCTAGTATCAGTGTTTAAGTATGAAATACGATTTCATATCTTCTCTGACAGCTGTAGCTTCTAATTATAAACTGTGTCTAATTCTACACCATTTTATTCTCAGTTTCATACCTGTATTTATGTTGCACATTGCTATAGAGCCTAAGCCAGCTCAGATGACACTGGAAGTTTTAGCTTTCCAGTACTATGTCCTTGCTGCAGCCTCAGCTCTGCACGGACAACACGAATCCTCAGTGCTCTCCTTACTCGGTTGTTCTCTTCCGGTCCCTGCTTTGCTCTATCCATACTAATATGTGAGCTCTGGGGAAATGGAGGGATCATAGCAATGAAGAACCATGCTGAACTCTTCTTCTTTTCCTGCCCTACCCTCCCCTAACAGAATTTTACACTACAACAGTATGATTTCTTAATACAGTAGTCTATTTTTCTCATTTTCATAGGACAAAATTTCACCTGCGCCTCCCACCTTCCCTGATCACTAGCAGATGCCTGTGCACTCCTTCTAGATCAAGGCTAGATCCAAAATGATTTAGGTATTCTTTCAATTCCGCTTTGGGTATTTAGCAATTTGGGTCCCAAACTAATGGGAAAAAAAACCAACCCCAAACCCAGCTGAAACGAGATACTTTTTCTTTTCTTCCCATGCCTACATGCCTGTTTGCTGGGACAGGTATTCCTGGAGCACTATTAACACATGGCAAGGGAATGCTTTGCAAACTGCAATGACAGCTACCTGTTTCTTGTGAGGCACCACTGCCAGATGCAAAGTGGCACTGGATAAAAAGCTTCTTTTTTCTGCTTCCTGCTGCAGAACTCGCTTTTGTTCTCTTTTCCCCTCTCCCAGAGGGATGTGCTAACCAGGGAGGGAGGACGCATTACTTTCAATGGCTCACTCAACTTCAGTTTCTTCCTGCATAGTCACTTATGTGCCGTGGCTGAGTACAGGCTTTCATGGTCCTGGTCAGACCTCCAACCTGGCCATTGGGGTCCTCTCCTTGGTCAGGCATGAGTTTGAGTCCCTCAGCTTGAGACAGGCTGGGTGCCTTTCTTCCTGCCCTTCATGACCATCTCCTTTACTCTCTCCTTAAGGACAAAGAACAGCCCTGGTGCTTTTTAGGGGAATGAAGACCTTTCAGCTGCTGTCTCTTCAGGGACCAGACACAGAGATGCCCTGCTTGAGGCTGGGGAGGAGGAAGAAGCAGAGAGTGGGATTTCCAAATATGCTCTTATTCTCAGTATTTTCCTGCTGAGCTGATGCAAGCAGCAGCACAGGGCTCCCTGGAGCCTGCTGGGAGGTCTCTTGCTCTCACACGTGCTCTCTGGAGGAAGCCCCAGCATCCAACTCTGCCTTTTGCTGCCAGAGGAAGGCACAGATGGGTTAGGCAGAGCAGGGCTGGGCTCCCAGGAGCATGATGCTCTCTCTGGGTCTGGTCAGATTTGAGTTACTCATGCTGGGGGTGGGCTGTGGTTAGTCTCAGCCCCTCTCCTCCCTTCTGCAATTCCAAAGTGCCCTTGTCAACAGGGAGGTGCCCGTGTTCTATTTGGGAATTGCACCAAGAAAATCCAGTTTTCTTCATGGCCTTTTGAACATCTGGAGCACGGGAAGTCTTTCAGGCTGTTCTTATTGAAGCAGTGTCTAGGATCAGGGGAGAAGACCACTTGTGTGACTCAGTTCAGCTGGCTCGAGGGATGTATTTTGGCCTATGATATCTGTTCTATACTTTCCTTTGGACTGTCCTTGCACTACAAATGGATCATTTGTTCAAAACTTCCACCAGTCCTGCTCAAATTGTGCATAAATCTTTTGTTTAGCTGGACAGCTAAACATGATGAAAGCATATTAATTCCTAAGAACTTGACAATTATCTTTTTTTTTTTCTTGAATTGTTTTTATATGTTTCAACTTTTCATGCAGGAGATAAGTTGTAAAAATAAGATAAGATGTAAATACTTCAACTGTATGCCTATTGCATATACTATGTTAGCTTCAGTCTGCCTGTTGACTGGCCCTGGTCACCTCAGAAGTATCAGTCCTGCCATACTTGAATCTCTGCAGCCAATTCATATTTATCCTTATTAAAGTTTCTTTTGCTTTGTCTAAAGGATGATAGAGGCATTTTAGTTCTATCCCATTTATTTCCCAAATGGGACACAGCGTGACTCAGTCCCTCTGGCTTCTGTAGCATCTCATTAAGAGACAGCCTGATGTTTGTGACGTGATTGTTGATTGCTTACTTCTACTTTTTAAATTCCATCTGATTTTGTTTCTGTTGTTGTAGTTTGGTTTCTTTGTGTTGTGTTCTTTTTTATTCCTGCTCCTGTTCAAGTATTTCAGTTTTAAGTAAAGCATGCCTTAGGCAACATTGTCTAGGGTGAGGCATCACTGCCCATGGCAGGGGGATTGGAACTAGATGATCTTAAGGTCCTTTCCAACCCAAACCATTCAATGATTCTGTGTAACAATTTCACTCCTTATCACGACTGGTTTCAGAACTTCAGAAACTGAGTCCCATTCCCAGACCTGCATGAAATTATGTGGTTAATGAACTTATCAATGACTTCATTTATACTGAAGTCAATGAACAACTGCAGCTCTTAAAGGGCCTGTTGTGATATGGTCTGCTACAAATGCAGATAGGCAACACAGGGGCTTTGGGAATACCTTTTGTGTCAGATACCTGGAAGTCCTTTGCAGTGATGTATGTACCCAGTTTTAGCCTAGCAGGACAGTATCTGAAGGATGTCTTATTCCAGACACCTACTGTGACTCATCTGCCCATGAGTTCCTTGCCCTTTGTTCCTTTTATAGTTGGTTGAGAAAGATGAATATTTTGGCAGCATGAGCCTGGGGTGGACATCTAAAGTACTTGGATGACTCTGCCCTAAAAGTGCCTATTCTGCTCTAGTCATAATTTTCATTTATATACATTAATTTCCTTTGTACTTGAGTTAAATTGCTCTTTTTCTGCCTTGCACCTGAAAACACTGAGAGATCTTTGAATTTTATGCCAATCTGCATCTTTTTATGACTGAATTGATGCCTATGACAAGCAGTCACTGCTAATTCTTTCTTCTGTCCATTTTCTGAAGTGATCTTCTTCCTAACATCAGCCTTACTGGAAATCATTTACCTATGTAGGTTCTGTCACTGCTTTCTCATAACAGCATTTTTAACTAGACACTGCAGGGAACTTGTACGCTGGGGTAACAAGTTAGTGCTGACCCCTTTCTTTCCTGTGGTTTTTATTTACTCCCTAGAAAAAGGCCTCTCTTTGCTTGGGTACCATCTGTGCAACTACAGCCTGACCAGAAATGTGGTTAAAATGGTTGCCTACCAAAAGTCCTATGAGAAAAGCACTTCCTGTGGAGGATGGATACCATGGATGGTGTGTCCCAGGATGTACTATAAAATGCAGTATCATGCTGTTGAAGTCCCTGAAACCGTCACTCTTACAGATTGCTGTGAAGGGTATGAACAAGTTGGACTCTACTGCTCCTTAGGTAAGCTTTAGTCAGATTAAGAGTTGAAATAAATGCTTCTTATGGAAGAGGATTCACTTGAACGGAGACATGTAAAGGCAGTAGGTTCCTGTTCACTGAAATGATTGTTTCTGCAAAATTCCACAGAAAATTTAGTCCGTTGTGGTAAGGAGTAGACATGAAAGACTAATGCTCCTAATTCTTGCTCTTTGCCATCCCTAGCCACAAATTCACTAAAGTTCCAGGTAAGCATGAAGAAGACACCTACTTGCTACCCCTGCAGGGGCTCGTTACTTGTCCTGGTTTGTGCCAATATCTGTGGCAAATTGCAGTAACTCATGTAGCCTTGCTTGGTGCTGCATCTGCTCTGAGCACACTTGCATTTACAGTTGGAGCTTTCCTCTCAAAAGTAATTCAGGATGCACTTAGGCTAACATCTCCTTTGTTTTGGAGCAGGGTCAGTTCTCAGGATGCAAACCCAATTTGATGTTAATTTAAAACAACCTGTGGCCTCATGGCTAGTTACTACCAACCGCTTTCCAATCAAAACTACATTAAGGGCCATTTTCTCAGGGCTTCCTTGGTTACAAAGGGCTATGTTGGAGGTCTGGAAACTGATGAAAGTTTTTGTGGATCTGCTGTAATTAACTTCTGAGTTTTAACAAGGTTCTACTCAGGAAGACTTAATCATCTTTGACTCAACTCAAGATGGAAGATTTTTCTCCTTCCCACATCAGGGATACTAGCTATCAATAAGAAATTACCAGTTTTAGCAGAACTTGAGATGTAAGTGGAAGGAATTCCTTGGGAAAAAGGAACTTTTTCTTTTTTAATAGATAAAGCCACATGCTTTTAAGCTGAACAGGCATCTTGGGTTAGCTAGGCCAGGACTGAACTGTTCCAGCATCCCAAAAAGTTCTGCAGGACATCATTTTGTCTCCTATTTTTGGTATGACATTGCATTTTCTCCATTTCTCCTTTTCAAGTTGTGGCTCTGGGACACATAGTCACATCACTGTAACAAGAGATTGAAAAGGAAAGGTTCTATTGCAGCCCTGGCCCTTGCTTTGAGTCATAAGACTTTTGTGACTCAGATCTATGGGAATGTCCCCTAACCCACTCCTGCACCAGATCATATAACGTGACATGAGAGGGTATGAGCCATATGTCTTGTCATGGGATCTGTCCAGAACAATGTTTTCATCCTACTTTTAAGTTGTTTCAGAGCATTGGAAAATGAATCTCCAAAGAATTTTTGCCAGGCGTTTCTCAACAGTTACTGTAGAATATTGTGTCTCACAGGAAAATGCTTATAACAGAAAGATGGGAAGACAGAAGTGGTCATTGTATTTTGCTTCTTCTTAAAATGATTTTCTAGAGATGAGAAATGAAAGCATAATTAGATACACATCATTTTTAGTGTACTGTATCCTGCCAAATAAATGTGTCGGCTAAATGCTGAAGTGTCAATAGCTAGTTATGGTTGTCTCTATTTTCACATGAAACTCTGTGAGTGTTCATTATTTTCAAGGTGTTTCAGAACCTCTGAAAATCAAGACCAACTTCTTGGATAGGAAGAAAAGACATCCTGACAACACTTTAAGTATTCTTTCCCAGTATAATTCTATGCCTTTTAAAAGCATCTGTATGGATATTTTAGGGTTAAGAGTGATTGATGAGCTTGTTTCATCTAACATTAACAAATCTGTACATCTCTTGTAAAGCTTAGCTGCAGCATTTCTGCTCTGCCCTTGCCATATTGTTGTTGAGCACTCTGGGCAGGCTTGTCTGAAATACGGTGGTCACCTTGACTGCTTTTCCTGTCAAAGTTAATTTGGGAATATTTTAAACCATAAAAGGATTTGTATGGATTCTTTGTGATTTCTGTGTTTACATTATTCCGGTATCTTTGCTTTTCAGGGCATTAGTCATAAATTCTGTGAATGGTAATGCACTGTCTAGACACAGTCTTAAATAAATGATGAGAAAAGAAACTGGAACTGCTGAAACCACTGTGCAGCACGCTGTTGAACTACTCTTATGTTCTCTTGACGTTATCCGTACTGGCATGCTCTCTGTCCTGCTAGGAGTGGAAAGGTCTGCATGACCTTTCACAGCAACCTGCTCCTGGCCACTCCCCACCTTTTCTTCCTAGAAGAAAACATTTATTCTTGCTTGGGATATGACACATCCCTCTTTTCTTATTTCTTTACTGTTGGGAAAAATTGTCTAGGTCATTAGTCCAGTTACTTTGGTAGTTCTTATTATTTACCTATCAATCCATTAGAGTAGTGTTATGCACACACAAATTACTTTAACTTTTTAAAAATAAAAATGGAAAAGAAATTAAATATCTAAAAGTTAGGAAGTGCTAGAATTAATTTTAAAGGTAGAATTAAATAAGACAACCTTGTCTTTATTACTTTAACAACCTTTGTTACTTTACTCTCCTTGTGCCTATGCATGCAGGGCACATTAACTCTTTTAATTCCCTGATCTGGCACTGTGTTGCTCTGAATACCACATTTCCCTGAGGTGATCAGGGATGATGGAGCCTCTAAGGAGCTCGCCAGCAGTGTGTTGTCCTGGCCTCCTCATTCAGTGCATGGGGCAGGGCTCTGCTGAGCTTCTGTCTGAACAGAAAAACATTTATCACATCTTAAGGTGAACCCTGGGGTGATTCACATACAGCAATTTGTCTTCACAAAGCCTGTGGGAAGGGAGGGAGGTTCTCTGTCTTTCACAGCTGGGCAACTACCCGCAGAGAAACTGAGATTGAAGAATTTTGTGTGCCCACTTCCAGACACTTACGGTAGGGTTTTAATTTTTTTCTTCCATTTATTTTGATTTTGATATTCAGAGTGCTTCGTGCTGCCTTCAACAACTTGTGTGCTTGTAGCGCAGAGCCTCATGTCCTTCCATGGTGACTATGAGCAGTCTAACTGCTAGGCAGGTCCCAGGGCTGCAGGTCAGGTTCCTGGACCTGTGAAGCCCATGGCTCTAAAAGGTTGTTATGAGTTTGTTGTACAAAATTTTCCCAGCATTTTGCAGGACTTTTTATTAGGTAGAGACAGTGCCCAGTTCTCCAGGCTAGTTTCCAGCTACTTGAATTGATGGTACAGTTACTTCTGGTGACTGGTTTGCTGCCACCTTCCACCTTAATGCATAAGATGAAACCAGAGAGCTTCTTTATCTGCCATAAAACCCTGCTTGATCTCCAGCTATGGAGTAAAAGAGCGCATCAGCATGTAATGAAGGCTGTCTTTTAAACACATATACATAAAAATACCATGAAATCAGAAGGCCCAGACAACTGCAATCCTGGAGTTCGTTAACTTGAGAGTACTTGATTTGCAGTGTTAAGGCCATGCTTGAAGTAGAGTATGCTGCTTTGTGTGAGTAACTTCAACCCATTCATTTTTTGGTACACAGGTGCCTCAGAGGGGCTGGGACCTTTCAGAGCCTGCATGCAGATGATCTCATGCTAAGTCTCACCAGAGCAGTGTGGAACTGTGGCACAGCTGTCCCTCCTGCTTGGGCAGTGGTGTCACCAGGGGCATGAGACCAGCACTGCAGCATCAACCTGGGGTAGGAAGGTGCCAGAATTCACCCAGAAGCAGGTGTCCCTGCCTGCCCTGCACTTTGGGTACCTTGTGTCCCTCAGCAGCTGCAGAAATGGGATTACAGGTGTCCCTGCCTATGGGGTCTGCTTGCTTATGGGCCTCCTGCCCAGGAATTGTCGTGTCCTTTTTTGGGACCACTGAAGCTGTCTGCCTCCACATGCCCTGTGCCAACAAATTTCAGAAGTTTACTCCCATTTGGGTAAAGAAGTGTGTGCTTTCACCCATTTTATTACTGTGGGCTATGGTGAATACTGGCTCTGCTTTCACCTTCTTCTCTGCCTTTGGTATTCTGTAAACCTTGATCATATCCCCTTCATCCTTCCTGTCTACACAGCAAAAAGCCGCAGCCTTTTTAGTAGTCTTTCCTTGCAAGTTACCTGCTTCATTCAGTTACCCACCTTGTGCCTTTCATGGCTGCATTAATCCCTTGAGTCACATCTGATCACCATGGGTCCCTGCCTGCTCTCTACTGATTGCGGATGTGAGCTTCAGCTGGGCAGAGCACATGGCATGGTGCTGCTGGCAGGATGAACCCTCTGAATGTGGCAGTGGCTAAACTTCATTAGATTTCTTCTGAGCATGTGCAGATTGGTTTGCTCCTCTAAGGCCGCGTCCTTGCTGAATTTCAGCCATTGCCTCCTGATTATGTTCTAGTGAATGATAGGGCTTTTCATAGGGGACAGTGTTAAATATTTGTCGGATGCTGAACTAGCACATCCTGACACTGCCCTCCAGCCCAATTAACCCTGGACAGGCAGTCAGGGTGGAAAACATCCATCTGAGCAGGTACAGTTTAGCAGTGGTCAGAGACCCTGAAAACAGGGTCATATGATGAAAACTGCCAGTGCCTTTTTAACGGGCTTTGCCAGGAGCCCTTTCTATCACCTCACAGATTTGTCTCCACCTTCTGACGCCTGAGATGAGTGCAGGGTGTTGGTGCTTGCCTCTGCCGCACCCTCTAGATGAAACCCGTCCCTTCTAGGTGGAAGGAGAAAGAAGAAGAGGGTAATGGCTAAGATAATGGTGTCCTCAGCATCTATTTCCTGGGAGATCCTCCCATCCTGTGCTCACAGCAGACCCCGCGGCTTTCATGCACGGTGGTAACTGACCTTTCATTGCTAAGCACTGGGTGCTACATTTCTGCTTCTGTACATTTATGCAAATAAAAGAGGAGAAAAGCCTGTCCTTTATCCAACTGACAGGAGCTGGCTGGCTTGCTCTCCAGTGCTGGCGGTGTTGCTGTGTAGGTGATTGTCCCAAATGTGATTGAAGTGGAGAGCACAAATTGAATTTCAAAGTGCACCTGGCACAATTAGGCAGAAATGTGATGTGAATCCATCTGTTTCCGCTGATGCAAAAATGATGACCTTTTGAATTTAGATAAATGGCTGGTGTGGCACTCGGCCAGGATTCAATAGTGTTTTCTGAGATTGCATGTGACTCATTAAACCTTTTACATTGCAGTTAAACATGCCAAAAAAAAAGACCTAGGTGGAAAAAAGCTGCTTTGAACGTCAAAACTGCTTGAGCTGCACCTGAATCTCAGAGCCAGAGGAATTTACATGTTTCTGTCCAGCTTACCAAGATCTACCTGGTTTGGATATTAAGGAGCTCTGATGATGTACTAATACACAGAAATCTCTTGTTGCTCGTGTCTGTGCAAGCTCCCAGTGCGAGAGGCTGCTTAGCCTCCTGGCGCAGCAGCTGGGATGCAGCAATTGCGTGAGGCTGGGAATGTGTGGGAGACTCATCTAAGATCAACTGAGGCTGCATCACACCTTATTGTGGCTTTAGACTAGAAATCAGAAAAAGGCTTTCTAGCAGCAGAGCCTGTTTGGGGGAACAGCCCATAGCGCCAGCCCCAGAGCAAAGGTTTCTGGTCCATGCTGGGAAGGAGAATAGGGCTGTTGGGACTTGCTGGACCCAGAAGTAACTTAAGTAAGATTGCATGGGTTTGAATTTCACCCCATCCTCCCACTGCAAACCTAGGCCTCTGACTCAAAATGATTTTTGGAAGCAGAGTTGGTCATGGGGAAGACCAAAAAACTGTGGGTTCAAAATGAACGGAAAAGAGAAATCTTTAAGGTGGATTGGAAAGACCAGAGCTGAGCATGCCTTGGAGCTATGTTTAAAAGCATGAGTGAAAGCAATGTTTGTAGAACTTAGAAATATTTTCTCTTTTCCTGTGGAAACAGGAATCACTGTCTGCCCTCGGCTTGGGAATCAGCAACTTTCTCCCTTAGCTGCCCTCTCCACAGGGCTGTCCCGCGTGGGCTATTGACCTCCCAAGGTAGTTGGCTGATACAGAGCAAGTGCTGTCAGGCTGTGGACCACAGGCTCAGTTCTGCTCTGTCCCTCTGTGTAACCCTGTTAAGTGTACCTGAGAACAGCGCTGTGTCTCCACTCTCATTTTCAATTACTACAACTAATGGTTAACTTTGTTGCAACAAAATACTAACTGAAAACTACTGATTTCTAGCTCAGATGTTACCTGTTTCCTTTGCTCATTATATATTATTTGGATTAGTCATAGCTGACATCAGACGCCTTTTCTGTTTTGCAGTGCTTCTAGTGCGACCACATTTAGAAACACTCTCTTGCTCTCTCCCCCCCATTTATCCATAATTATCAATGGAAAATTATAAATTTAAAATTTAGTAACAGAAGTTTCATGAGCAAGAGAAAAAACTGAGAACATTCACACTCTTGAAATGAAGTAATGGTAATTTAGGCTGCTATTCTCTCCCCATGAAAACCTCAGAACAGACGCACTTCTAAAATGAGGAGGAGGTGTTTGATATAAATTCAATTGCACAGTTTTATGGAAACATTTTTCTGTATTTTTGTTCTCATAAATGTTTTTGTTACTTAGCACTCAATAGATCCAGTGTATTTGCCTCAAGACCTGGTGCTTGTCCAAAGGAGAATATGGAAACATTGGATTATCCTTGTACTTTTGATACTGAATGTCCAGGGCTTAAAAAATGCTGCAACTCTTCCATAGGAGCAGGCTGTGTGGATCCAGTGCCAGAGGGTATGTTACTGATAAATTCAAGACTGCTCCTAAGAGAAATATGCATAATTTTTCCTTCTGAGGGTGGGAGTGGGCAGAAAAACTGTTACCATAGCTTTTCATAAAACAAATATGGGAATCTGCTTTGGATCAATTCCAGGACATTCAGCTCCAGTACTTGCACCTAGGAGTGCTGAATGCTGTGTGGATGCTGAGGGTCCAGTGGACCTTCTCTGCCTTCTTCTCCTTCATTGGCACTGCTGCCTGCAGCATATGGCAAACAAGGCTGTAGATGATGGCTGTGCGTGGGCCTTCATATTTGCCAAATTAAAGCTTGCTTTGGTTTCCTAGACCCTTCCTATAGCTCTGTCTCTTTCTATAACATCAGACCATAGATGACTTGGCTGTTTTCATTTGTATGCTTCAGGAAGTACATTCTGGTACAACGTGACAGTGCTTGTGAAAATGGATTTTGATGAATTAATCCGAGTGGATTCCCATCTTCTGAATCATTCACGCCTTTTGCACTCCATGGTATGTACAAACGTAAACGCCCCCCTGTGTTGCTTGTTTTGTCCACGTTTCTGTCACTCAGTAACCACCACTTGCTTTGTAGTCGTAACCTTGCTAGCTAGTTGCTCCTGCTTTGTTCTGCAAGATCAGGGGTATTTTGCCCTAATTTGTTCCTAATTACTGAATGTCAGCTGAATCCTCAAGCAGCTCAAATGACATTGATTTATCAGCTTATTTAGGAAATTTTTCAGGTCTCTTCTGAGGGCAATTTAAAGACATCATAGAATATAGGGTTTTTTCCTGCCTGAGTGATGCTTGCTCCAGCTCTGCCTCAGCTGAGTTTTTGGTCTACAACCACCCAGCTCCGGATGTCTGCAAACCTGCAAAGCATGATTAGATCAAAGGAGTTGTGATTTAACCCTTTCAAGAGACAAACCTGACCTACGGCACTGGGACCTACAGGGCAGGTGGACTCAGCAGTGCCAGAAGTTTTGCTGAGGAAGTCCAGGGGGACTGCGTCTGGGTCAGGGGCACTTTGTTGTCATTCTTGCCACAGAAGCAAGGCTGAGGGAGATGACAGTGTGCTGCTTTTGCTGTAGAGCCAGGCTCATGTGCACGGATTAGCAGCAGCCATGAGAGCAGTGCTTGCAGAGCCATGCGACAGCAGCACAGCATGTCTTTTCCTATCCCCGGCATGAGAGATAGGAACAGTTTGAGGCAACCAAATAAAAATAGAGCCCTAGCAGAGGTGTGAGGTACTGAAGTGTTTGTGCCCTTGTTTTCCAGATTACTGGTGCATTAGATCCCTTGAATGCCTCCGTACACCATATCCAGAGTAACCATGCAGAAGTATATGCTGGGACAGTGGCCTCCCAGGTTCTCATTGGACTGCATCAGCCAGCTCCGCTCATGCAAGTTTCTTCTTCCTTGAAGGACATCGTGAAGCGCATATATGAAGTGATTTATACTGAAGTGCAAGGTTATTTGTTATAATCCTGTGATGGGGGGAAATTCTGTAGGGGTTTCATCCCTCTTCACTGGGGGTTTCATCTATATGACCGTCCATTTACTTTCAAAAATAGCACAGCAGACCTTGTAAACTTTGTAAATATGTCCCTAACCTTTCCATTGTAGGAAGGAGAAGCTTGTAGTTAATAATTACTTTGGAGAGAATATTTGGAGGGAAATATTCCTGATTCCTCAATTAAATTTATTTTCTCCTAATAGCGTCTTCAGATGAAAAAGCAAGGAGGCCCATATTTGTAGCACAATCATTAGTTATATTAAACAAGCTCTTAAAAAAAGTGTTTTCCTGGGAAGCATATATACTCTGTTTTTAGAGATGTGTTACTTCCAGTAGCTTGCATGGAACAAGTTGTACTCATAGTGTGTTAATTACTATAGCATATTACCTACTTCTTAAATGTTAGGTAAATAATTTAAATACATTCAGTTTAAATTATTTTAATCTCCTCATTATTATGTAGTTATCTGGACATTTTCACTCCTGAAATACATCAATAAGCACCACTGTCATCACTTCTTGTTCTGTGTTTATTTTGGAAAACTCAGCCCAACTTTCAGAGAAATCACTCTTTCAGGGAAGGGCAGAATTCTAATTTCGTTGCTCCCATATACGTCCAGAATTGCTTTTGCAGAGTTACTGCAGATTTACACTGAATTTATCATATCCAGAGCCTAGTGTACACATACTGCAGATCAGTCTTGATGCTGCTATCAACATCTGTGCAAGGTGTATTCCTCTTCATAGATGTCAACGAATGTTCCTATGTGGGATTCAATGCTTGTCCTGAGAAGAACACCTGTGTAAATCTGGAGGGTTATTACAGCTGTGACCCTCAGCATGGGCATGCAGATGTCATTCCTCACCAGCTGAGCAGAAGAAAGGAAGGTAGGAAATGTAGATCTCACCTTGGGAAATACTGAGACTGTTTCTGCAGGACTTTTTGGGGCCTATGCCAGGCATCACCTGCAAGGCAAAGATTTCTGGAGCACCCAGTGCCCTTTCTCCTTTTGTTGGGAGAAGATGCCACACCTGCCAGCTGTTAGCTCTTTCTGATTGAATTGCAGTGTATTTATTTCAGGGTTCTTTGTTGTTTCTCTTATCCTACCCTCAGCTGTCCTCACTCACCTGCCAAAACCTTTAGCTTCAGACCCTGTTGTCAGTGCACCTCCCCAGCTTCCTGGGAAAATCCGATTAATGGCACCATTTGTCCACAAGGTCTCCTTCTCATTTTGGCTGTATGACTGCAGCCAGGGCACAAAGGTTGTATAATCGCACCTTGAGCTGCTGTATGGTCACTGAGTCCTCTGTTGGAGCAGACAGACTTTGGCAATGGGTGAAATAATACTTTGCAGTACCAAAATATGGAGTGCAAAATATAGAGGCATATACTTAGGTCCCACAGACATCAATGGGCCTGCTAATAGGCTTTAAGTTAATGAGATAAATAAGTGCTTGCAGATCCATTGCCTTAGTTAGAAAATAATTTTACAATCCTTTAATCTCAAAAAAGAAGATAATGTATTACTTTATACTTTTGTGATATGATAATATGTTTATTTTAATTTCTATTTCTATTTTATCTATTGCTGCTTTTCAGCTGCAGAAAACATGAATAGTATTCCTTTGGATTTGCTTTGTTAGGAATACTTTAATTCTTTGATGATACTATTTTCCTTCTAGGCATAGCAGCATCTACTCCAAGTTCAGCACTGACTCCTGTTAACACCAGCAATAGCTCCCTGCCTGTAAGCAATTCAAGTCTGTTGTCCATAACTAACCAACCTACAGATGCTGGGTGCTGTAAGTAACCTTGAGTTTGCATGAATATTGTCTTGCTTTTGATTCAGCTACTGTTTGATCCTTTATTCCTGGGGCTGGTTGAGTTACAGAGGGGTGTTCACAGAAGCTGGTAATAATTTTGGAGTGGATCTCCACTGATGGAAATGGAGAGAGGCTTCCCCAGTGGGACATTCAGCGCAAGGGCTGTGATGTTGTGTATTGACCACTGGAGAAGCTCTACTGTTATTCCCCTGGCTACTGAAGGGAATTGGCCTTCTGGAAGTGGCCTGGTGAGCCATTCAAATGCGTGTCCCACCGCAGCACTTGTGATAGATAATCCTACAGCACAAGCAGCCTGCCAGTGAGGGCTGTGTGAGGCCAGCACCACTCACTCACCTGGAACACAGGTCACTGCATGTCCCAGGCTTGTCCTGGAACAAGGTATGGGAGGATCTGCTACCAATCGCAGGAGCTCCCTCTGACCACAGCCACCAAGATGAGGGCACTTCTCGCTTTTGAGTCCATGAAGATGTTGGTGGGGGACATGAGTCAGGGAGGTTGGCTACAGCTGTGGAATTAGCCTTTGTGAATACTCTCCCTGCTATACACTACAGCTGTCTAAGGGACTGTGATGGGAACAAACCCCAGTAGATTTGTCTTTATATGGGTGACTTCAGCCCTTTCAGGCAAGAGTTATCACAAACTTTGTTTACAACACCCTGTTCTTCTTGTTGGAGGAAATAGCTCAAAGTAGTTATTTGCCTAATTCAGAGAGAAAGTCTGCATATTCTTGATTTCAACCACAACTTTTGATTCAAGCTGAAGCTAGAGGAATTAAACTGGAGTCCCCCTAGTGCTGGGGCAGTATGGCTTTGGGTTGGTTGACAGCCACCTGCCTCAGAGTCATGGAAACAATTGTGTTCTATTGAAACAATTTCAGAAAACAAACTTTTTTTCTCAGACTAATTATTAGCATGAAAGAATTGAAGCTGTGGTAGCAGCATGCTGTGGTCTCTAGGTTAGCACGGGGGATGACGTTAATCTCACCTGACCCCAGCTGTCTACAGGACAAGTGTCTAGTCTGGGCTCTGTCTATAGTTAGTGGATACAGACTGGCTCTGCTGGAGGGCAATTAGTCCTACTCAATTTAGACACCATCTCCTCCTCCTTCGAGGAGGAAATCATCTCTGAAGGGTCCTGTCTTTTCCCATTGACACAACAGTGATTGCACTGGACTAGAGTAGCATAAATAGGTAAAATGCTGCCTGCTGCTCTGCCCCCAGCCTCTATAAGATGGGGTCTGTGGACTTTCTCCAGGCATAAATCAAGGCACCTTTGCCTGAAGACATGCATTTTGATGATTAAAGTGACAAGAAGCATAGTAGGTGTCAATTTTTGTAGAGCACGCAGATTCACTATTCCAAACTTATCCCTGTTGCTTGAACCTGTAACTCACTGTCTGATTGTCAGTGTTACTTGAGGTCCAGCACAAATACTTATAGTAAAAGGAAATAAAAAAGGTAAGCACCAAATTAATCGCTCTAGTGGGATGGCTCATAGATGAGGGGACCTTGTAGTGTGAGAGAAGGTTCTGTCTTGATGGAATATAAAGAAGAGTTTCCCCTATTGATTGCCGAAGAGCTTGTCTACAGTGGATTTACAATACCACAATACTTTAAAGATTAAATGTTGCTTTTCCTGTGATGACTCTTCCTGGGATTGGAACAGATCCCTCTACAGTTAGAAACCACCGAGTCTTCAGTGTCAACAGCAGCGGTTTTGAAGTGTCCTGGCACGTCACTTCTACTCTGAACCGTACTTTCCAAGTCCAAGTGTTCAAGGGCAAAGAGATTGTACAAAACCTGAAGACAGAGGAAATGAAAGTGTATGTGTCTCAGCTGGAAGCAGGTGTGATGTATTCAGTAGAGATCAGCTATGAAACCTGTGGAAAAACCAGCACCTCTCGTCAAAATGTTAAAACAGGTAAATAACAACTTTATAATACATATGCATTCTCTCCTCCCTTCACCCCTTCACTCACTTGCAGCTCAGCAATGATCCATTTGGTCCTCTTTGAACTGCATTTCCTATCTTCCCACCTCTTTCAGCACTTTTTGTGTCATCTACCCCAGTATTTGTGTGACCTCAACTATCAAGCAGCAGAGCTCTGGCCTTAGTTAATAGAGCAGTGCTGGAGCTGACTCAGACTATTACAGGTATCAAACTAAGCTAGAATACTTTTGTGTGTGTGTGCCTGGCACTGCATTCTGCTGCTGCCCGTCTCCTATCAGCCCCATTTTTCCTGGTTGATGGCTGTGGCCAGTGAGAAATCCAGTCATCTGGTTTCTCAAGGGGTCAGCTGAGCTACCAAGAGTGCCCAGAGGAAGGCCAGATTCAGCTGAGTGTTTGTGAATGATGGGGATTGAAGGGGATAACCAGGGCTGTGTAAGAAAGCTCGCAGAGTACTTGGATAATTTTGTTCAATTAGGTCACGATTCTAGCAACCTGGGACCTTAGTGTGCTGATCAAACATACTTTTGCCTTTCCTTTATCCTTAGTTTCCTAAGCCTGCACGGAAATAAAGAAATAATCCTCTCCCCATTTTCTTCAAAAAGCAGGCAGTGAGCTATTTAATACTGGCCACAGTGAGAATGCTGCTGTTTATATTTATCCATAAAAGCCTCCCCTTTGGTCAGATGAGGGCTGACTTCAGTTTGGGTCAGAAGGAAATTACTCCCTTTGTACAGGGAAAGTAGGAGGTCTGGTGGTTACGGGAACAGGGGCTGGAGTTCAGGGTATGAAGTTGGAGCCCTTGAGAAAAATAGTAGTTCTTAAAATGAAAGTTTTCCAAAGATCAGTCCAAAGAGTAACGGCCTGAGATTGTTTTTACAGGTTAAAGTGGTTATAGGTTCCTTGGCTCTTGGTTTTGGTTCATGAACTCTGTACGTTATCTGTCAGGGCTCTGCCAGACAGAGAAGTGGCATGCACATTTTTTGTTGTTATTTTCAGTTGAAGAATATATTTACTATATTCATAATACCAAGATCAGGAAAAAAAATAAACACTGTGACTGGGGGACCAATGATGAGCTCAGAGGCAATGCATCCCTGGATGTAACTCAAGCGCAAGAGTTATGAAGGGTCAGGTCCATGAGGGTATGTGTATACCCAGTTCTCATTTGGTTCTAACTAGGCACCTAAATATATTTATAGACCTAATGTAAGTGCATCTCCTCATTATATAGGAAGCTTGTAGCAGAATATTTGCTTTATTTTCTCAGTTTAGTACCAAACTCTCTCAACCTTCTCCGCACCTTCTCCCTCCATCATCTGAGATTTTGGTCTGGGTAGCTCAGTTTTGACTGAATCCTTCCATCCTCTGCTTTATCACTGTGTATTTTTATATTATGTCCTACAGAAGCCAAGGTGTTTGGTGTTACTATGAGGATTCTCAACTACAACTTCACTGATGATTTCAAGAATGCCAGCAGCTCAGCATATGAAGAATTTTCAAGACTGCTGCTTATGGAGGTAGTGCTAAAATATCTCTGGGCTTTATGCATACATAAATATACATGGTTTTGGTTTTGATTTTTTTTTTTTTATTTAAAATTTATTTAATGTAATAGAGAATTTTATGCCTGGCTGAAACGCCCCTTGAAAATCATTATTCTGTTTCCTGTGACCTTTCTTTATAACTAAATCAAAATTCAGCTGACTAGACAGGTCAAACCATTGGCCTTATTAGCGACAGAACCAGTGAGAATTTTTCCCTACTGGGGAGTAAAGGAATTAAAAATGCAGGCAAAAAGGACCCTTTCCTTGGATCTATAGTTTGGCAATAAACTCACACTAACTTGACTTGAGGCTTTTTAATGGATTATTGAAACGACATTGCTGGCATTAATTTCAGTGCTGTCCTCTCAATAAATGTCTGACTGCTCTCAAGGATCTGCCTTCTTTTAGGAAAAGTGACTGGATCAATCTGTCTTCTCCAGCCCCATTCATTTCATGCACACATGTAGCCACTTGACCATGCTCAGCTGCAATCAGCCATAAACAAAAGTTGAGTCATGAGGTCTATTACCAGCCCTCAGCTTCCAAAACAAGGGGGATGTTTCATGTGCAGTAATCTCTAGTTTTGCTGTAAGAGCAAGGCCCATAAAGACGAATTGGTATCTCCATTCAAAACAAGACATTCCTAAACCAAAGTGTGACTCATAAACATTTGTGAATATAAATGTGAGGAAAAAGACCATTTCAAAGGCAGCAAAGAAGAGACATTTGCTCATTCCTGACACGGCTTTATTTCCCATCCATAGCTCAGATTGTTTACTTTTGTTGTGCAGAAGGATTTTTGCGACTTAATCTTCTCTGAGACTAATGCAGGCCTAATTGTCATAATGGGGTAGGGAAGGCACAGGAGCATTGCCCATCTCTGTTGCCTTTGCCTCCTTGGGTGTTTGTGAGCATAACATTCCCATTTCACTTCCTCTTTCCTCTCTTTTTCTTGCCTTCCCACCCTGATGTCAGCTTAGACCAGTTAAACATCTTGGTTGGAGTAATTTTTAGAGAAAACTCTGACTGAATGGGAACAAAGCTGTGTTGATTTATGGCTCTGCATTGTGTCCTCAAAGGCATTCTTTGAGGTGTATGCAGGAGCAAAAGGCTCAAGCAAAGAGATGCCTCCTGGAGATGGAAGATAAAACCGCAAGCTCCTGCAGAGCTCAGATGTTGACAGCAGTATGCCAGCTTTAATGTTCAAAGTAGCACCATTTGGTCAACGAATGTGTCTGCTTACTGGTTTGATAATGAACCAAGATGTAATTGTGATATTGCCTTGAAGCTGGGCTGTATCAAACACATTTTCTTGAAGTTACACCTTCCATTTTTTTTTATCTCTCATCCTGAGATTTCTATATCACTGGACTCAGCTCCAAGTTGGACTTGGGCTGGTGAGTTTCAAATACTCCCCGTGAGCTAAAGCTATGCTCTACTGGTAAATGAAACGTTTCCTGAACCATTCTCTGGCACTAACACCAACTGGCACAAACCAGACTCCCAGAGTCTGGAAGTGCAGAAGCAAATGTATAGGAGGCCTGGAACAAAAAGCTTACATGACATAGACATCTAACATCAGTCTGCATGCAGATTTAGTGGGCCAGTTCAGTTGTGATGCTGGTAAACAGGAGCAAAAGATATTCTGCTCCCTTGAGCCAAAATTAAGCTTGGTTTGTAAGACCAGTGGTCAGATGGGTACCGTTTCCAAGGGTACCTATGTGCACCAAGGAGAGCCACACTTCTCTGTGCCTCAGTAATCTCTGAGAAGTAAGATTTCTGAAACTCTTTGAAATTTTTCTTTTTAAAACATTTTCTATGTTATGCATATATAGATCTTTACAATGGTACCACATAGCTCAGTTTTAAAAGGAGCTATACCTGTTGGGTTCCTAATTACTGATGTGTCTCTCCCTTTGCTCAGCTTGAAAATTCATTTCCACCCAATATTTCTGCTTTATACAAATCTGGGAAGCTGAAAGTGCAGGTGGAATCCCTGCAAGCTGGAAGCATCATTGCGAGGCTCAGAATCACTGTGCAGGATCCCGAGTTTCCAGTTGATGCCTCCACATTTGCCCTGGTGTTTTCTTACCTGCGCAATGGCTCAGTGCTTTTGGTGGATCAGCAGAACACTACAGTAGAAGGTAATTACTTATTTTTTTAACAGGAAAACAGGGTCTGTATTTTGATGGGGCACAGTCTCACCAGCGTTCTTCATCAAAAGTATTTTGTAGAGAGACAAAGTACATGGTTTGTTGGAGGATGTGAGAACTCCTCTGTAGGCTTTTATTCGTAAGCTCAGAAGGGGTCTCCCTTGGCTGTCTCCAGGTACCTGCAGGCACTGCTGCCCTCCACTGTGTTTAAGGAGGAGTGGCACTCTTGGTTTCCATATTAATTTTCCTCCCTTTCCTCTTTGTGAGCAGTTGGAAATTCGCCATCTTTCTCTCACTGAACTGCAGATATGATTACTGTGGAATATTTGTGGCCTTTACATACACATGGCCTCTAGAGAGTTTTGTGCTTCAAAGCTGTGGGGCTGTATTTGGGCCAGGGTTTAAGAAATCTAACATCTTCATTATAGAAATCCAGCCAGAGAAATTCCCAGATGTCCTCTCAATGAATAGGACTTAAGAAACATGCATGGAATTTATGTTAAATGAGGCCTTTGTTTGATCTTTGGTAATCACCATTTTTATCTTCAAAGAGCTAAGTTCTGGCTTCAGGTTTCCAGCTGTCAGAGCCAGCCAGAGTTCAGAAAGTTGCCAAAGCCAACAGAATGGGTTATTCTTCTGTCCCAGTATATTGAACCCTTAAAAGCTTATTTACTGTGCTCAGGGAAAACTCCCTTTGGGGTTGTAGCGCATATGGAGGTAAAGGAGAGCAGGACAGAAAAAAAAACAGAAAAGACAAATTGCACCTGAAGCCTACAAATAACACAGTGGTTGTGGATACTGAACTGCAAGATCCTAATGTGTGCCAAAATATTATTGATCCTGGGCCCGAAAGAGTGGTGAGGGAAAAGGCTATAGTTCTGGACTGTTCCTTTCATCGCAGAAAACCAGATGGGTTCCAGTAGCACCACTCAGCCAGGAGCTCAGCCAACTCCTCCTTATGGGGGAGAAAAAAGGGGGCTATGTCTTGGCTCTAACCAAACAGACTTTTTTTGGTAGAAAATAAAGTGAAGGAGTGAGGTATATGAAGAAAAGATTTGTATAATGGGATGGTTTACTTCCTGATTCCTGATTGCCCTGGGACATGCCCTTTGACAGTAAGCTCACACAGATCCTCTTGCAGCAGTGGAGCAATGCCACCTGGATCCTTGGTGGAGCCTGGCCACCAAAAGGCTATGTGTTTGATTTAGTGACAGTGGCAGAGCAGGGAATTCAACTTTGAAACATCAAAAGTGAGAAGTCAGAAGGGATAGCATAATTGAAGGGATTGGAGCAATCTCATCTTTCTTTGAAGACTCATAAAGTATTAAGTTTACTGCCATGATGAATAGAGATACTAAAATGTCTGTCTATTGCGTGAGGCATAGTAGGAAAAGAAAAAGGGATGTGTGCTGAGTCAGGCCCAAGATCCACCTAGCACAGTGTGATGTCCTCAGTAGCACCCAGGAGCCAATTCCTGGAGAAACGGAAATAAGAACAATACAGTAAGTATAGATGATGCTTCTCACTAATACTCTCTTAGCCACCAACTGTTTTCTGCTCCACGACTTCCTGAATCCAGGGTGATTTCTGTGGGTTTCTCCTCCTTGGGATCTCCATGAACTCATGCAAATCTTTACCATCTGCAATATCATTAGTCAAAGAATTTCACAGACTTTTAGCTATTGTATTTACCTCTTAAAGATACAGTGGGTATTCAGAGCAAGTGACAGTACGCACTGAGAACATAACCGTTTTGGCCTGATGCATGACTGAATGTGGCCATCAGAGGTTAAGAAATTTGCTTAAAAAGCCATGCTAAGCCATGTGAAGCCATTAGCTATTACAATGCTAAGTGATGAGAAAGGAAACCCTCTGAGACAGTGGAGCCAGTGAACATAAATTATCTGGCAATCAGCACAGGAGCATCTCACTGATGGTGTTTGAAGGGTCACAATTACTTCATAGCATAGTAAGGCATTAATGACAGCACTTTCATTGCTGATGCTTTAGTCAATCCTGGGTACTTCTGTATTCCCTCCAAGTGGCTTAGGCTGTAACATAATCAGCAGATGCTGGCCACAGGCACAAGAAATTGTCTAATGGAAACAATCTTGGATGCAACAATTATCTAATGAAGAAGAAATGAGAAAGAATGGAAATACTAGCTGAAGGAAGTAAAAGGGGAAGGCTGTCAGCAAAGCAGAAAGATGAACGTTTGTATGGTCATGCACACACCTACTCTCTGCTTTCTGTTTCTAAACTGGGACTTTTCTTTGTTTCAGAGAAATAATCGTTCATTAATCTCCACGTTTGCAGAACAAGCACTTGCAATAACGCATTGTTCAAAACAATTTTCTTGCCTATGATCAGAATCATTTGTCCAAAGACACAGTTTTCAGTCTAGTTTTCTGCTTTCCCTCACTTACAGCCCCGAGGCTCTCAAGATGTATGCACAAGGGAGTGCACACAGGGAGGGCTCACATGGGATTCACTGAGATAATCCATTTCCAAAGTATTTGCCCGGCCTTTGCATGTTTGCTGGGTGCAAATGGTGATATAAGGCTGCACATCTAAATCCCTAAAGAGTAAAGAGACTGAGCAATAAAGTATTTCTATATGAAAAGAAGCATGTCTAACTGATGCAGAGTAACTGAAGTTAGACATAAGGGACACCCTTAGAGCATATTCATGCATTGATGAACTAGGATCTCTTTCCTAAGACTACCAGAAGGAGGTCACAGTTTTACAGTATTATCTGTGACAAGAAAGCTTTTATAAAAAGAGTTTTGCCCTTAGCACTTCCTCTGTTATGAACTGAAGAGTGCTTCTCGTGGGAGTTACTTGTATTTGCCTTTTATTTGAGGCAGAAGATTATTTGGATTACTTAATATTCTATCTGCTGGTAGCAGTTCTGTTCATTGCCTGATGTATCTGGAGGTACTGTATGCAGAACTTGGTACAATCTATGCTTTTGCTATAGCTATAGTACAAACTTACAATATTTTTTTTCACTTCAAATAAGTGTTTACTTTCAAAAATATTTTCAAAGTTTTTACTTGGAGAAAATATTTTTCAGAGTATAAAGACAAAGGTTGATTTCTAGGTAAAAGAATAACAACACAGACAGTATTGTGCATCACTCAGAGCCTGGCTGTCACATAAGTGATGAGAAGGGAAAAACACATTCACAAATTCAAAAACTGAAGAAAGGACTACTTCAGGATTATCTCTAGCTTAATGCAGCCAGAAGGGAGGCTATATCTGACCAGTGTTCTGGTTTTGGCCTTACAGACTGGGATGAATGTACTTCTCGTGTGGAGAATGACTGCTCTGTGTTTGCTGAGTGTATCAACCTGATGGGCTCATACACGTGCAGATGCAAGACAACCATGGATACCAACCCATCCCGACCTGGAAGAAACTGTGAGGGTGAGCAAAAGACCGGCATGTAGTTTCCTTTTGGCATGAATGGTTGGAATTGTTTTACCTCTGCTTTTATTACAACTATTTATATAGTTCACAATGTGTATATAGATGCACCTTTGCAGTCTCTGGCTGAAGGCCTATATATGGTCTGTCTCTGAACCTTATATGCATCTTCAGGTGAAATCTTTCTGAGATCCTCCTTTGATTAGCTTACTAATTGACTGCTGAGGAACATAAGGCATACCTTTTCCTCTTCTGCTACGTCTGTGGCTAATTTCTTCCCACTGTAACAATCCATGGCCAGCCAATCACAAGAAAAGACCCAGGAATCAAATCTACTTCTTTGTGTAGGCACAAACCAGGTTCAACACCGTAACAGACACATATACCATAATGTGTTAATGAAATATCCAAGAAATATCCATTTCTGTAACTCTATTATGCATGGCTGAGTGCTCTCAGCCTCATTTTCAGGCCAGACCCTGTTGTGCCCTCATCTTGTTTGAGGTCCCATTTCAATGTGTTTGTTGTGTTTCAGGTGAGATTGTGGACCCTCTCACTGAAACAATGGCTCCTGAAATAGCAAACAGCACAGAGTTTGCTCCTGAAGAAGTAAGCTCTGCAGACCCTGCTTCTCCTGCCACCACAGGGATGGTGGCTGCTACAGGCTCTGAGACTAGCACTGCAGTACACCTCCCTCCTGCACTGTCCCCGGGTGACGAGCAAGCACCCCATGGTCATTCTCCCACCAGTGCTCCTCCAACCCCTTGGAAAAAAGGCCTGGCATCACAGATGCACTTCAGCAGGGACAACGGCTCCACGGCCACGGGGGCCACAGCCAGCAAGGAATTGGCCATAAGTCCATCACAGCAAAGCTCTATGGCGGAGACTTCCCCTGGTGCATTGCAGCAGGTGGCTGCTCTCACAAATGCACCCATGGGCACAGTCGGGCAAGGGCAATTCAGTTCGTCATTGCTGGTGTTTCCAAATCGAACAGCTACCACCAGAAGTCACACAGCTTTTGATGAGCCTCAAGCCAACTCTGAAGATGGCCCCAGTGCAGCTCTGCTGGCCATAGGGGATGCCAGTGTTCCCACTGCCAACACCACTATAAAAGCATATGCAGAGATGGGAAGAGAGAACAGCTCTTGGTCAGAAAAACATCCTGAAGCCCTGGGGTCACCAGCTTTGCCAGGCACCTCTCCAGCTCCCAGCCTGGCACCAGTCCTAGCCATGAACCGCAGTGAGTATGAGTTTGGCAGGGGCTTACACGCATAATGATTTGGCTGCACGAGAAGCAAAGCCTCACCTGGAGTCAGGAAAGATGCACAGTTGGAATCAGTGGTCTGGGATAAAGGTGTCTGAAACTAGTTTTTCTATGCAAGAATTATTTTTTTGCATGATCAGCACTTTTTTCCTAAATCAGCATGTCAAAATAATTCCTCTTTCTGGTAATCTAGTAGCCAGTTTCATAAATTTTTACTCTGAAAGTAATATTTATTTGTTTGGTTTTTATTCTCAAAGCATATGAAGCAAATAATACAGTGCACTGAATGTGGCTCATTGAAATATATGCTGCTTGTCCTTTTGCCACACATCTTGGTTTCTCCTGCATACTCTGGCACCAGTGTGCTGCAGGCGCGGCTGACTATAGCATTTGAGACCCAGGAAGGCAAATGACCTGTCTTCCCATTCCTCATCCAGTGGAGGATGGATTAGGCAGAGCCCTGCAAATCCTCTGTAGGGCAGGAGCTGCATGGAAACCTTTTGAGAGCTGTAATTGAGAGTAACTAGGTTGGCCGGAGGGCTTAATCTGTTTGGGTTTGGGCAGATGTGCTGCAGCTAATCAGGGGATTTTTCTGCTGATTGGAGCTGAATCATATTTCAAGGTTAGAGTCAGATTTGGTCTTCAAACTACGGTTATTTGGGATGGGCGTGGTGCTGTCCCTGCCCATGACTAAATGTCTTTTTTCTTTAGTGTGTCAGCAAGTGATACCTATTTCAGTTTTGTGTCTGCTTGTCTTTATTCCGCTTCTTATGCCCTCCCCATCTCTCCAATCCAAAAATGCACTCCCCTCTGCTCCTTCCTCTTCCCTTCCCCTCTCTCCTCCTCCTGGGATCTCCACTCATCCAGCCCCACTTTTGCTTCTCCCTCATTTCCTTCTCCCTGGAAAACCTCTATTTCAGCCATGTAAGTCCAGCTCTGCTGCTTCACCAGCCTATTTTGTGCCACCAGTCTTGGTCACCAGTGGCAGCATGTGTACTTCTGCAGTCCTGCTCAGCTCTGGGCAGCTCTGCTGATGCCCCTGTTCAGCTTCTGCCTTCTCTCTTCTTCATGCTGTATCCTTTGCTCTGCCTGGCATGGGTGAAACCTGGGAATAGAGCTGGGAAAATAACTCATTTGGAACCTTGGTGGCCAAATGGAGGAAGCAAACAATTTTGGACCAAACAATATATTGATCTGAATTTAAAAGCTCCCTTTACTCCTTTGCTTTGCTTTGTCCCCACTGCCCTCTGTCAATGTAGGGAAAAGTGAAAAAATTGTTATTGTGGGTTTTTTGTGGCTGGAAAATAAATTGAAGAATTCTACACAAACAGGTTCAGTTTATAAAAACTTTTTTTCTTTCCCCGAAATAAATAAATCCAGTCTTGAGCCAAATGCTGGGAAAGAAGCTTGTGGAGGGATTATGCCTGGGGAGCAAGAAGAAGAGCCACCATAGTGATATCTCAATAGCCTGGTGCAGGAAATTCAGAGTGAAAAAATACGGTTTTTTTAAGTTTAATATATAGCTCCTCCTTGTGGCCACATTTCTGACCTGGAGGCTTAACCTCAGCCAGCTCTTCATGGTCCGTCAAGCCTTTTAAGTACTGTTGGGGTGGTTTTTTTTTGTTGTTTGAAAATTGTTCAGAACATTTTCCCCTCTCGGCATCAGTTAAATGAACATGGTTTATCTCCTAAATGAACGTGGTTTATCTCCTAAATGAATGTGGTTTATCTCCTTTTTCCCATGTTCACATGACAGGACAAGCCATAGCAAAAATCAAGCCCAAATCCTTTGATCTGACCGGTGGTGGTGACGAGAGCTCCTTTGGGATCAGAAGCATACTGGGATAAAGGAAGCCTGCTTCGGCAGCTTGCTTTAAGCAGGCAAAACCCTGTTGGGGTTCATCTTATCTTACAACAGCTGTATAAAATGTAGGCGTCTAATCCCAGGCGGCAGTCTAGCCTTCCTCTGAGGTTGGAGGGAAGACACTGGTGCTGCAATGATTTGCCCTCAGGAGGGACTGGTGTTGCCCTGTTGCATGAGAGGCAGCTGGGAAGGCTAGCTGAGTCTAGGAGAACAATTCAGGCGCTTGAACATATCCGTACAGCAACGTTTCAGATGCTCCAGAGGATCTAAGATAAAGCTGGCAGATATAAGACTTCCAGGATGCCAGTGCCCTTCTTGAGAGTCATCTGGGGGTCAGACAGAGCAGATTAAGGTGCTGAATGACTGTGTTTAGGCATTCGGTGTTTTGGCTACATTTCAGAAGGCTGGCCTTCTGCTACTGTGAACTGATGCATATGGCATGTTGCCGGACATGCCAGTGACCGTCACACACTTGTTCATGGACTACAGCCCGTAAAACATGTAATTTAATTGTCTTTTTCTTACTTTGCAGCTGTCCAGAAGCTTAGTGGCACAGTACGGATAACAAATGTGAAATACTCTCTGGGCTTTAGCAATACAAGCAGTGAGGAGTATCAAACCTTTGCACACCTCTTTGTTGATGAAGTAAGTAGCTAAGGAGGATGTGTCCTATTACCCATCTCAGTGAAACCACATGTACCATATTTTTCCCATGAAGCCTATATACCACATCCGTAAGGTCTGAGTTCCCCTGTCTGAGACTGCAGAATGAGCATGCAGCTGTGTTTAAGAGTGAGATCAGGATTTGGGGATTCTCTTGTGCTTCCATTTCCTCTGCTTCTCAAACCTGGTTATACTGGCTTATTGATTTCCTCCAGGGGTGTGGTGAAAAGTTAATGAATACTTGTAAAGTGCTCTGATATCCTTGCCCTGCACAGCACTATATTAATGAACTGTATGATTGTTTTGCCATCCTACCTTAGAGCTGGCATTTCTTGTAATCATCCTTGATTTTGTAGCCCTGTAGTTGGAAAGGGAGTGGTTTCTTGAAAAGTCACCTCTGCCCTTGCTTCTAATTAGATAGCAGGCTATCAAAGCACTTTGTGATATCAGCTGTGCCTATAATGCTCTTGTAATTCCCAAGCATTGCCTTTGACAGTATCACTCTCTTAATTTCTTAGGGAATTTATCAGAAATTTGTTCCTGCTGGTGTTTACTCAAACACACCTGTGCTTGGAGAACTGCAGTTTATGCTGGGCTTCTTTATTGCCTTCCTTATCTCCCCTGCCTGTGTTTTTGGAGGTCTTTGATAACTGTGCTGACAACTCCATCACTGACAATCATATGAATTCTCAAACCCCACAGAGGCCTCCACAGACTCTCACTGTGCGAGGAGTTAAAACCTGTCACTGAAATACAGCTGTCTGCAGTGGGCGCACTGACAGCAGCGTGCATTCAGGCAGAGGTCAGACCAGCTTGGGGTTAGAGACAATTGCAACGAGGGAAAAGTGCAATCTCTTTAGTAGTGCATGATGTTTTCTTGGATAGCAAATAAGTTTCCCATTGCTCATTACTGGTTTGCACCTTTCTGGATGTGTTAGTGGAGCACAGAGTCGTTTTGGCCTCAAGCTGTCACATCACAAAAACAGTCACAAAACGAGAGTGACATGATTAGCAAAGTGAAAAGGGAGTAATTCTCCACTGACCTCACTCTCATTCAGCATCACTCCCTGCCTGAGGCTATTTTAGAATAGCATAGCATTAAAATTGATTCAAATGAATATATTTATTTTCTTCATTCACTAAGATAACTTCATCCAGAAAATCACCAATACAAATATATTAGGGAAATCTGTAAAATGATTGCAGAGGAACTAAAGTAAGTTTTGTGTCAGTTTTACCCAGTTCTCTTCAGGCAGAAAATGATCCCTTTTGATAATAAGGCACTAACTCCTTTTTCCAGCATACTGCTTTTGTGGATCAGCTGGTGAGATGTGTTAATGTTGATTCCGTCCACCTCTGAGCCACTGTATATAGGTTATAGCTGCATGGCCACTGTATATGGCAAAACATGTTGTGAGTGTTTTATTACAAATGTGTTTCTAGATGGAAAAAAAAAAAAAAAGAAAAAGAAGTTTAGGAAAACAGAAAGATCTGGATTTTTTTTTTTAAGTTATAAGAAGCAGAAATTGATCCCTTACAGTAAGAGAGGAAAGTTTCATGGGCTTTAAAAGTACTATCAGGTTCCACTTAAGCAGACTTTGCCAGAGATACTTTTTTTTTATCTCTGTGGAGTCACCATCTAGAATTCAGAGCATTTATAAAACCTGATGTGTATAATGTTCTTTAGCATAGAGCTGCCCCAGTACTTAGGTGCCATGTGGTTAAATTGGCAGCACAGCAAATGGAAATACCATCCTTTGAATAATGTGTAGATGAAAATGAGATAAAAACTTGGTGTGACAACTTGCACTGTCATTATCCAGGCTTGTTTTCGTGTCCTCCTTGCAATGCATCTGGAAAACAACACAAAGGGTGAAAGAGTATTTTCTTCGTCCTGGGTTTTACTCAGCCTGTCATTTGCGACGGCCAAGGAGAATATCATGGCAGCTAGGGCTTGTCCTCAGGAAAACAACTGAGGAGAACAAAAGGTTTGAATTGAAAAGGCACTCACTGAGGTGCATTAAATACCTGAGTGGAAAAGTTGTTTTGAATATGGGTGTCTTAACTGCTTCGTAATAGCTCAGCTAATGATACCTTTGGCTGCAGTGATCACAATGGTCTGGAGTCTGGAGTTTGCAATCTGGCTGAACATGCTGAGCGTTAGTACTAAGACAAAGGTTTTAGAGTTTAGAAGCTTGCTCAGAGCTCAGTTCAGAGGGATTCTGTTCAAAGCTCCTCTGGGGGCTAAAGGAGCTAGCAAGTGCTGGGAGATTTTCAAGAGTGCTCTCCTTGGAAGCACAGGAACAGTCCATCCCCTGTAAAGGTAAGGGAAGTGAGCAAAGCAGGAGATCCTCTTGGCTTAACTCTGAGCTTCTGAGTCTGCTCCAAACCCAAGAAGCAGCATACCAGAGATGGAAAAGTGGATGGAAACCCATCAAGAACTACAAGGGCATTACCAGGGTGTGCAGAGATGCAGTTAGAAAAGCAGAAGCTCAGATCAAAATAAAATTGGCCAGAGATGTCAAAAACTACAAGAAAGCAGAAGCAAAAGGAAAATACTGGCTCGCTATTGAGCAGGAAAGGTGAATTAGTTGCCATCAATGCTGAAAAGGTGGAGGTTCTCAACACTTTCTGTACCTCTGTCTTTACCAGCAGTGTTGGGACCCAGGTCTTGGGAACAAAGACCCAGGTTGATGCAAATGCAGACCCACCATCGGTGAAGGAAGACTTGGTATGTGAACTATTACAGGAGCTTGACCCCTACAAATCAATGGGCCCTGACAATATCCACTCAAGGGTGTCTGGTTGATGTCATTGTGAGACTGCTCTCCATAATCTTTGAGAAGTCATGGAGATCAGAGGACGTCCGGGCAGACAGCTAACATTGCCCTGTCTACAAGAAAGGCCTAAAGGAGGATCCAGGAAATTATTGGCTCATCAGATTTACTGATAAGTGATATGGAAGGTTATGGCCTGAATCCTCCTGGGGGCTATCACAAGTCACATAAAGTAGGTGACTGGGAGAAGCCAGTACGGATTCACCAGGGGCAAATTGTGCTTGACAAAACTGGTCACCACCTGCAACAAAAGTAACCTGAACGGTTGATGTGAGACAAGCAGTGGACATTGTCTGCCTGGATTTCTTCAAGGCTTTTGATGCCGTTTCCCACACCCTCCTCCTAAAGAAACTGACATGTTACTGTCTAGATGGTGGGTGGGGACATGGCTGACAGGCTGCACGCAGAGGGTGGTGGTGAATAGTTCCTTTTCAAACTGGCAACCTGTCACTAGTGGGGTCCCCTAGGGGTCATTATTGGGCTCAGCACTGTTTAGTATCTTTGTAAGTGATCTGGAAGATGGGATCAGGTGTACCCTGACCAAGTCTGCAGATTATACCAAACTGAATGGGGAAGTGGACACTTTGGAAGAGAGAGCCACCCTGTTGGATGACCTGGATAGGCCGGAAGAGTGGGCTATCAAGAACCTTATGAAGTTCAACAAAGACAAATGTAAGGTCTTGCACCTGGGAAAACATAATATAAGACTGCAGCACAGGCTGGGATCTACCCAGATGGGGAGCATCTCTAGGACCTGGGGGTCCTGGTGAACAGCAAGCTCAATGTGAGTGAACGGTGTGCAGCTGCAGCAAAAAAAAAGCCAACAGAAGGCTGGGTCAAATCAACAAGGGCATCATCAGTAGAGATAAAGATGCCATTATTCCATTCTACTCAGAACTTGTCAGGTCACACCTGGAGTTCTGTGTTCAGTTTCAGTCCCTGCTGTAAAAAAAAGATGTGGACAGGCTGGAGAGGGTCCAGAGAAGGGCTACAATGATCAGAGGTCTGGGAAACCTGTCGCATGAGGAAAGGCTGAGAGAAGTGGGTCTGCTGACCCTTGAGAAAAGAAGGCTCAGGGGAGACCTCATCACCATGTTCCAGTACTGAAAGGGTGACTACAAAGAAGATGGAGACTCCCCTTTTATAAGGAGTCGCATGGAAAAGACAGGGGTAATGGACATTCCCTTCCATTAGCGATGGTGTTAATTTTGTCCATGTTCTCTCCCTTTCTTGTTGCACTTCTGGCATAATGATTTCTCCTTCTCTGGCATTACTCGTGTTTCTTTTGTGTGCTACAGCAGTTGGAGAATAAATGATGGATCCCAAAATGTTAGTAAGAAAACCTTATACTCAAGGGTGTTATACATCGAATATTTCCTTCTAGGAAGTTTCCTTTTTTTCTAGTCCTGCTTCATCGACCATTATTTTAATAACCTAGGGTGTGGTACCTGTGAAATCATGTAGCCTGCCGGATAAAGGGGTTTGTAGTGCCACCTAGTGGCTAAATGCAAATACCGTCACTGTCCGCTGACACTTCATGCTCTGAGACCTTGTTTTGTGAGAAATAATGTGAATAAGGACAGAAACCAAACAAACAAACAAACAAACAAACAAAAAGGACAAAAAAAAAAAAACAAACCAAACAAACAACAAACCCAATCTCCCAAGCCTTAAGTAAAAAGAAGCACCAATAAAATAAAATCTTCAGGACAGATGAGAAGGGAGTACAGGTGAATTCAGGGATGGGCTAAGAAGATGTCACAGATCTGTGTATTTAATGTCCAGAAGTTCAAACAAAAGCTATGAAAGATGAAAACTTACATACATATCCCTGCATTGCTGAGTTGGTGCTAGATACAGATGCTAAGAATCTCACAGGTAACCACACTCTACAGGTAAACGAAAAATTGGCTTTTTTCTGTTGTGAATGTTTGATATTTCTAATACAAACTATTTAAAGTATTTTGTTTTCTGGCAGATTTTAAACCTTAATGACTCAGCATGTCTTGGCAGGGTGCATTCATTACCACATAATATATGCCATATCCTTTTGTACCACAGATGTATGTAAATTCTCTCTGTGTGGTTTTAGTTGCCAAAGGTATTTGCAGAGCCATGCAAAAGAAACTCATTATTGAAAATCCATGTCCTCTAAAGCTGAATTAATGTTAGCCTTGTGTTTTGTCTGGGGTTGATCTTATGAGGTGTTGCCATCTGACCTGTGTCTGCCCCTCCTGTGGCTGGTGCTGGGCCTGGAGATGAAAGGAATAGTGCTGGAAAAGCAAATCCTGTTGTACATCCCCCCAGGGCTCCTGCATAAGTCCAGGTGCCCTACCCTATAGACTGCTCTGCTGTGGGACAAGGAACAGCTGTTCCCACGGGCGGCTGCCCTCCAAAGGTACGCAGCCTTGGAGGGCGGAAAGGGAAGAGGTTGAACACATGGCTCCAGTCTTTTTATCTCTTCAAGGCGGGTTGGTGCCTCCATCTGAGCTGGGTGGTGGAGAGGCTGAGCAACCCAACTAATGCAAAGTCTTACGGTGGGCTGTGTTTTCCCATCCCGCAGAAAGCAGGGACTATTCTGTTTTCCATTGTGGTAAGGGAGCTATCATGACTAAGACTGTGATTTGAAAAGGGTGGCATTTTCTTTCTTAGCTAAGTAGTGACATCCAAGGTTACTGTGTACTGACTGTGAATGTTTATTTTATCGATTTCTCTAGATTGACCTAAGTTCAGCTGTGATTTGGTGCTGCAATACTTTGAGGGTGACTGTTGCTATTCAGGATAGTGCAGAGCCATTTCCTAGCCTGGATCTTGGGCTCTCAGGGAGGACAGTGAGTCAGGGCTGTGTGCCCTGACAACAGACAGAATTTGCAGAAGTGATGTGATACTCCTTAGGGAAGACCTTAATGAAATATTTCTGAAATCAGGTTGAAGACTTGGCTCTGGTGAGAAATCACCCGTGAAGAAAGGCTTGAGGTTGGTCTGCTCTAAGCTGTAACATACCTGAGCTGAAGGAACCCTCTGAGACACATAAACAGTGTGGAGCCTCAGGAGGTATCTCCCCTTGCATCAGCAGCAACTCTTTGTATTGGGTTGCCCTCTCTCCCTGAAGGTATTTTGAGAGGCAGAACATGGGAGCTTCCCTGCAGTCTCCTCTCTCCCTTTCTGTTACCAGAGACAAGGAACTGTGCCAAATTACAGACAAGGTATCTTAATCACTTAGCTTATTTCATATTCATAGTTAAATATATACCGTACCCTTCAGCTGCTGTGGAGTGGAAACATTAAAAAGCAAAAGGTCTGCATCCCTCTAGAGTACGAAGCAAACTGTGATGCATAGTGCTCTCTCCTAGGCTCTGTACAAAGCCTGAAATGTAATTGCTTCTATCTGTCCATCTCCACCCGCATTTTCTTTTCTTGCAGGTACATAAATCTCTGCCCCCTGAAGTTCTTCAGCAGATGGATGCTGGTCTGATTAAAGTGTTGATAACGGGTATTACTAATGGGAGCACAGTGGTAAGTTTCAATTTACTGATTGCAGAAGATGTGGATATCTACTACATCATCACCACTTTTCATGATGCCTTTGAACACAACTCCTATTTCACAGTTGACAAGAGCAGTCTCTCCATAAACGGTAAGGGGCAGCTTGTATCCAAATGGTACTTCAGAGCTAGAAACATGCTAAAGCCTGTTATTAATCTGTATTTTTGAGGTGAAAGTATCTGTAAAATGGATGAAAGGCCATTCTCTCTCCTTATATTTCTCCTGCTTATCCATCCAATAAGCTTTTTTCCAGAGAATGTCAAAAGATGAAATGAGAATTTAGTTACTTCTGATCCAAAAGGACAAAGCCAACTGCTCTTTTTTGTCTATAGCTAGCATTAATTTTATACAGAAGAGGATATGGAGACGTTAGAATCAGTGGTGACAGAGTAGTGAGGGGTTTATAAGCTACCAGAAGAAATAGGTAACACAGACATAAGAAACACAGACGTAACTATCTCTGTTTAAAATAATTAGGAAACACATTACTCTCTGCTTTGCATTAGTAATTTTGTGTGAGATAAAACCCCAAGAAACAAATACACAAACGTGAATTCTTCTGCAGTGAGGGTATGTGTTTTCCTCACTCATGGGTGGGTCAGGACTTCAGGTGAAAGTCCACACTTTACCAAAACCAGCATAATGGCTGATTGTCCAGCTTCTTTTCCTTTATGTCAGTAACCAGAAACTTTGTTCTCCTGACTAACTGCTGTTGAATCCCGTTTCACGAGTCGATGTGTCATCTCTAAAAAAGCATACCAAATTCTGTGTTTATATACATTTGTCCAAAGGGTGTTGTTGTAAGGTACCCACTAGAATTTCACACACAATGACTTCAGAAACATGTATATGGTCTGCCCTGTACATTCTCTTTGCCTGTTACCCTCACAGCTGTGAATCTGGAAAGTTACACGTCCTGTGAATTATGAAGATCACGACTATCTTGTGGCAGTGCTTTGTAGAGGGCCTGTACCCCTCAAACCTTTGCTGAAACAAGTGTTTTTTTTCAGGGACAGGTCCTCACACAGCAGGCTCTCCGAGTCCCACCTATGGTGGTGTGTCTTTATTTGCACAGTTACAATTAAGTTGTGCATATAAAAATTTTAAGAGAAACGGAGGTAAAATACATTTTTTTCCTTTCAAAAGCGAAAATTTTAGCCAGATAAAAATTAAGAAAGCAACTAGACTGCAACTTGGACCAGTCACACAACCCTCTTCCTTCACTCATGCTGATCATTTACTTTCCATCTCCTCCAGAGTTTGAAATGGGGAAGGCAGCTGAGGAAGCCCTTGGGTTTAGAAGCATCCCCTTGGGCTGTTGATCAATTTAGGAGGATAGGAGCTCTGCAACAGGGTACCTGCATTTCAGTGAGTATCTGATGGGCATCACTGGTAGCACAGCCCCTGGAGGGTTTTTTCGGTGCCCTGAAATTAGTCTTTTAGGCTGTGCTTCTAGTATCCCACCTTTTCTAAACCCAGCAGCTGCCTGACAAGTACAGCAGAGTATCACAAGTGTAATCCCGCCATGATATCATGACAGGACTTGGTTTCAGTTTCAGAGCCATCACATTTTCATTTATACACTCTTCACCTTTGCCTTTTGCTTAAATACACCCAACAGATTATGATGAGTGCGAGAGTGAAGAAGATGACTGCTCCCCAGATGCTTCGTGCCATAACACACTTGGGTTCTACCAGTGCAGCTGCAATGAAGGATTTGCTGATGTGCTCCCAGAAAAGCCTGGAAGAATCTGTGAAGGCAAAAAAATATCTAATTATCTAATGGCTAACTGAACACTGAGCAATCTGATCTTTCCTGGGTCATGGTCATACTTGCCACAGGTCTTGAAATTTTGCCAGGGATTAATTTGGTTTGCTGTTTTCAGATGGGTCCTAACAGGAAAAGTCTTGCAGTGGACTTCTAAGTATTTATCAGTGAAATACCCTGTCATGAGAGTTTACTATATTAATATTTAATGTTGCCTTTGTAAGGTTCTTTTAACAGTTCTGTTTTCTCAAATTTACTATTAAAATTAGATATGATTGTCAAAATTGCTAGTTATTTCCATTAGCAGGAGCAGAGGGGACAGCAGAGCTCGTACTTATTTTTCTTTCTCATACACTCAAACCAGCACCTTTTCAATTTGGGGTGTTTCCGAAAGTGGGGGAGTTGCAGAAGGGTATCTATAGATGTACAGATTTTATATGTTGCTTGGGAAATAGGTGATATTTGTATGTATAGCCCATCAAAATTATTTAAGAGAAAATTTTGTGCCATGAGACACATCCTTTATGTTTCACTGCAAATTGAGTTTATTATCTCGGTGCTTTCTAAGTCATCAGTGGATGAATACTTAGGTTGTTTCTACCACCAAAGAGCCACAGGGTAACCTCAGAGCCTGTGCTGAACGTCAGATGTTTGACATACTCATTGGTCTCAATCTGTGCTTCCCATTTACTCTGCTTGCTTTTTTCCTGAAGCCATGAAAGATTGCTGCTGACATGTTTTTCAGCTTTCCACTGTGTCTCTCAGGACACGTACGTGCAGTGTGGGCCTGCTGCAGAAAGTTTGTCCTGCATTTCCCCCAAAATGGGTTTTCCAAAGCACTCAGGGTCATATCTTTGGACACCAACTGATCACAAAAGGGGCCAGGTTTTTTAGCAAACTGCTCCTGTTTGTGCCCCACATCCAGAAGTGTGCAGTCTCCTACAGTACTAGGCAAAAACATATGAACATTTCCTGAACAGCTTACAGTTGGGGATTTCTTCAAGCACTGATCTTCCAAAAGCTGTGTATACGTGTTTTACCTGAACGTGCTAATTACCGCAGCTCTCGGGAAACAAAGCACTTTAGCTTTACTCACAGACCCTTTATGTATCTCTTGGGTACTCTCTTAAAACAAAAGTCACAGCTTTGGCAGTAAGTCGAGAGGGTTAAAAAACCAAAAGAAGCTAGTTTTCTGGAAGTAATTGAGTTTCCTCCTAAGAGTTTGCTTTTACCTTATGAAATCAATCTGAAGCTGTAAATTACAACAGAACCTTTATTTTTGGCATTCTTCAGCATTTCCTATCAGCCTGAAGCCAACAGCGATGGATGAGAAACCTGGATGCAGCACAGTTTTACTTGCGACATCTTTGCAAACTTCAACTCATGCTCCTTCCTCTACTTCAGTGGATCTTACTACTGAGCACAAAGGTCTGGAGGACACCACATTCTCCAGTGTGGTGCTGCCTCTTCTCACCATGGATCCTGTGCCAACTCCTGGTGTTTCTCCTCAAGCATCTCCTGTTTCCCTCGTTAAACCTGCCCAGGAGGTTTCCATTAAAGATGCAGTGGAAGTGTTTTGTGGAATCGAGAAGATTGTCCTTGCCATCCAGAAGAGATTTTTACAGCAGGAGTCTATTCCTGAAACCTCCCTGTACCTGGGGGAGCCTCGCTGCAACGTGAGCATCAGCAATGGCACTCACGTTGTGCTGCAGGCAGGCTGGCGTGACTGTGGCACTGAAGTTGAGACTGTAAGTCCCCTGAGCTGGTGAATGTGGAGAAGCCCCAGAGTTTTTTTTGTCAGTGGGAGGGAAGGTATGGGAGGGGCAATGGCAGATCTTTAGCTGGGTGCTACAGTCTATTGATTGCTGAAATGTTGGACTAAGAAATTTCTTTGGAGAAAGAAACCCTTTTCCCATGATGGAAAATTACCTCTTTGGGACTGGGGGGAAAGCAAGAAAGAGAAGGGGTAAGAAAGAGACCAGGCAGCAAAACTCAAGGGCATCTCCAAACTGAGAGTAACTTCCCATGCCTCTCGGGGTTCCCTTTGTAGCTGTCGGAAGCTTCTCTTTTCTTAAAAGTTAATTTCACTATTGCATGTACATGAATGCTCCAATTGCCACCAGTAGTGGGGACAAAAAGTGATGGTTATTTCTTTGGATCCCAAATGAAAGGCTGTGCTCAGGCCACACCAAAGTAGAGAAAGTCCCTCGTGGAGCAATAATCATTGCAGACTGAGAAAGAGGAGTAAGGTCGGTGGATTTTCATTGTCTCACTGTACAGCAACTAAAATACAGAGGTTTAATCTGTTTAATTTTTGCAGCTAGGAGAATGGATAGTGCCTAAGCACTTGAAGCTGGTAAGCGTGTAGCTCTGCTATATCCCTGGAAACACTGATGTTCACAGGTTGCGCTTTCTTCTTTCTGCATTGCAGAACATGACTAATACAGTAGTGAAAACCATCCTTCGGAATGATGGTTCTGCTCAGGGAGTAATCCACCACTTAAAAGTTGCTAGCCCCATTCTCTGTGTGTTTCAAAATGATCTCTTGACTTCCTCTGGATACACTGCAGAAGGGTAAGTAACAACTTGGCCTGCTTTGAAATGCTGCTGTATGGCTAAGAGCTACTACAGTGGAAAAATCTCCAGGGACCTTAGCTGTATCCAGTGACTGCTTGCTATGCTAAGTAGTTGGCCATCCTGTGAGTCCTGTGCTCAGGTGATCCCTTCTATCTGCTTCTCTCTTACTCCTTGTAATGTGTCAATAAATCCAACTGTCAAAAAGCTTGGCTGTTGTCTGGCTAAACCACAGATGAAAATATGCCTTTGGGAGCTACTGGTGCAGGTTCAGGAGTCAGAATTCCCAACCTCTCTTTGCCTTCCTGGGCAATCACGTGTAGCAATAACAGTGTGTTCCTGCTTTTAGAACAGAACAATGATTTTTCAACCAATGTAGGCATGCAGACTGCTATGTGGGTTCTGAGGGTTACAATTTTTAACTCCTACAAATACATATTTGATCAGCTTGTAATGCAAGTACTTTTTTATGGAAGGCCCCATCTTCAGGTAAGACGGAATCAAATGCACTGTTCACAGAAAGTCAAGCACATTCTCACAGAAGAGGTGGCAGCACAAGCTTTGCTCTGGTGATGAATGGTCTCACTTCATGCAAGTGCACCTCCTCTCGCCTAGCACCATGCTTATGCTGTCATTACCAAATCCACCTTCTGCTTTATAACCCTGTCCAAATACTGTATTTTCCTTTCTAGCCCCCCACAAAGTCTTTGCGAGGGCCCTTCTCTCTGAGCTTTATCATTCTCTCATGTCCCTCCCTTACTGTTCAGATTTGCCCCTTCTGTTTTTTTTTCTCTTCTGCACTAAGCTTTTTCTCTCCTTGTTTTGAACTTTAAGAGAGTTCATAGTCTTGTTTCCCTTTTGCCTCACTTACCTGTCTCTCTCTGCTTTATTTGTATTGCCAAGACATTCCACCCTTTGGGTTTTCACGCTTGTGTTCCCATACTCCCTGCATTTCCAATTAAAAACTTGGTGCGTTTTCATCCTTTCCTATTGAGCAGTGTCCTAACATCCTGGACTGTAGATCACTCCTTACTACTTAAATGGGGAAGGAGTGGAGAAATGGGCACTGATTTATGACTTATAGAAACAAGCAGTCAAATCTGTGGTCTTTAAAGGAGGTTTATTGGTGTTTCAGACTTTACACCATCTTTGAGGATCTGCATGGATCTGGACACTTCAGAACAGAAATGCAGTTGTTTATTGGAAACTCTCCAATACCAAAAAATTTCAGCATCTCTGCCAGTGATGATGTACTGATTGAAGTGGGAATCCAGAGAGCAGACAGCAAGCTCAAGGTGGTCCTAACTGATTGCTGGGCAACTCCAACTAATAATTCAGTGGATCCCCTCTCATTTGTTTTTATCAGCAACAGGTACAGCAATGCCACTCACAAATAGCATGTCATGCCTTAGATCTTCCAATGGTGCTGAGTAGTAATGTGTTATGTTTTAAATGCCTTTTATGTGTGTTTTCATCATTCTTGTACACAGTCCCTTACCATTTGGACTGGTCATACCTTCTTTGAACAAGAAAGGCAGGTATGAAAAGAAAATGTTTTCAAAGGGAAATATGATGCTTCTTTGAGTTTGTCTTCCCCATAATTTTCTAAAGGAGCTGTACTTCTGACCCGAACAAATAGGCGCCTTTGGCCACTACTTTCCTATGGTAGTGAAAGAGTATTTGAAAAGTGTACTTCATCTGTGGTTCATCTTACCAAGGACTTAGGTGCCTCTTGGTAATCAAAACATAGGTTAGTTGATTCCTATGTGTTGTGACTCACACATAATATTAACGCAGCCTCTGGTAAAAGGGGAGGTTTATCCTGTCTGAATCCCTGATCTCACTCCAATGTCATATTCCCTGTGCTCACCTGCCACTTTAAAATCCAGGATAGTCCTTTTGCACAGTAACAGAAGCTATTCTTTTTTTTTATGTTCCTTCAGTTTGTGTTTGGTGAAGCCAGGTTTAAATCCTTCTGTCACTCTTTCTCTTCTTTTCCAACTCCCCAACCATTTCTCAAATCTTCTGTTCTGTTTGGTTACTGTCAGAATAAAGCTGCAAATAGCCCCTACACTGCTGGAGAGCTGCTTCACAGAGGGCCTGGTTGTGACTTTGTAAAGGAGCCTTGCAACCTAAGTTATGCGCTATAACCAGAACATGCTTTCTATAGCCCTAGCTGCTATGTATGTTTTTCTCTTCCTTTTCAGCTGTCCCATCCCAAATACATACACCACACTGCTAGAGAATGGGAATTCAAGCAAAGCAGAGTTTAAGATGAAAATCTTTTCCTTTGTCAACAATTCTGTGGTTTACTTACACTGCAAAATTCGTATTTGTATGGAGAGCCCAGGAAGCACCTGCAGGACAGTAAGTGTTTTGCTCCAATATGCTATTTTTCTCTAACATGCCATATGCAGTCCTGCTATGGAATTGAAGGAGTAATGTTTTCAAACACGGTTTAAAATAGCTCTTGAAGTTTTCCTTAATTTTCTGCTGAGAGTAGATATGGGTGGGAAAGAACTACAACCATATGGAAGTGTCCGCCTTTCTGCCTCTTCCTTGTAGTTAAAAGCATGGAGCTTGCACAGAAATGGGCAAACTGAAGTTGGGGGGACCTGAGAACTGAACCTTTCACCTCTGCACATGGGTGGCTAGAAGGCAGTGAAGAGGAGTCGTAATGAGATAGGCTATTCAGAAATGTCTCAGCTCAGACAGACATGTCACAAAAAAGCAAGCACCCATATTAGCAGTGTCAGCAGGCAAGTCTGAGTACATTTATTTGGGATGTTTTTTCTGTCCTTTTTTTCTTTTCCTTAGGGGTTTGCTTCTCCAGGTGAGAGTTTAGGTGCCAGGAAAGGAAACATGGTGGCATTAAGTTTCTAGGGCTGTGACTCCAATAGTTTATTGTGGCTTTTTAAAGGCCTATTGCTTTTTGAAGCAATAAACCAAGCAGTGTTCTGATGACAACTTCAGTTTCTAAATATCTGTGCTCCAAAGCATTGCTTTGTTTCTTTTTACTTCTATATAAGTGATACACATTGCTTCATCTAAAAATGTGCTGCTACCATAGAAAAATTTAAAAAAATAGATTTTGAGGTTGGCTTTTTTTTTTTCTTTATAGCAGACATGCAGGAATTCTCCTCTCCCTCTGCCAGCCTTCCTGGCTTTTTTCCTGTAAAGGATGTTTTCATTAGCAGTTTGGAGTTCTTCCATTGTTTAACACTTTCCTCTAGATCTAAATAACTCAGTTTAAGCCCATTACAAAGCAAATGATCTCTTCCTAAAAGATTAAAAATGACTAGCAGAAGATAACAGTTTCCTTTCCAAAGTAAAAAGCTTCCTCCATGTTAAACCTTCCCAACAAACTAGTGACAGGAAACACAACTGACAGATTGAAAGATGGCTCCAATTTCACAGCTGAACTTGCACAGTGAAGATCAGTGCTTCAGCAGCCACCTTTGGAGGAAGTGGTGCCCTCCCCAAGTTCACTGCAGTGGTGCTATCCCCAAGTTCACTGTGTGTTCTGCACAGCTGAGAAGGGACACGGTGGTGAATGCAAATCAGGGACATAAGAGGGGTGGACACGACAGGGACTGTATGGGCTGGTATGGTTGCTGTAAGGAACCGGTTGCTTTGCTAGGAGTCTCTGAGTTTGGCTTTAGCTGTACAGATTAGAGTTTTAGAACATGGTTAACTGAAGAACTGACTGATCTGAATTACAGGGGTCTGTGATGGGGTAATTCTGCTAGCCCCAGATGAGGTTTGATTCACATTGACATCCACAGTAAACAAGGCACAGGACAGTTAGTCAGTGAGGCCCTCCTCTTTCATATATATATATATATATATATATATATATATATATATATATATGAGAGATATAATTTTTTCTCCTGTGCAAAATTTACCCCCATGAAAAGTTAGTGAATTCAATATCTGAGATTGAGATTGAAGTTATGCAGAGAAGACAGGTACTACGCACATGCACACAGGATGACAATGGCTTTTACAAAGAAGAGAGGGAGAGCTGCAAAAGGTGAAAAGGCCAAGGAAAATGGAAGCAAGAGCAAAGTGTATTTGGAAATATTGTGAGATGGCTGGTAAAGTGCCCAGGGTCTAGGATGTGATCCTCTGATCCTTTTGTTAACCTGGAAAATACTGACTTGCTTAAGGGCAGATTTGCATCAGCCCTTTGCCTACAGAATTGAGACTTAGATCTTGTATATTATTTCTTCTTTCCCAGTCTTTTTATTCCTTGTTTTACGGCAAGAGAGAGGAAGGTACTCTGTAGTTCAGAGTAGGAAAACCACAGACAGACCAGGGAGCAGTGTAGTCAGAAATGAGTAAGAAACATGACTTTGAATGGGAAGGAGAGTGATGTTCCACTTTCATTCATATGTTTGGTGGAATGTGGCTGCTCCACGGCCACATGGAGCCAAGAAATCATTGATGTCAAGTAGCTATGTAATTGTTTTCTCTAAATCTGCCTAGCTGGGAAAGCTATTCAAGGGTAGGCGAAAGTCATACCTACACGGGTGTTTTTCTGGGGGTGGATGCAGCTAAAGACACTGTTGCTGACAGTAGAGGTTTTTCAGTGTAACCAGGCTGGTAGTGCTGGTAAGATATTTTTGTATAGACAAGCTGGTTAAGACAGGCCTGCATATCCCTGGTTCCTTTTGCTGATTTTAGTATGGTACCGCACTTTCTCTGTTTTTATGTGCACTTCCAGGAGAGCCACAGGATCTTTCGAATAACCTCAAAGGGTTATGCTTCCCCTCAGAAACCTGTAGGCAGCAAACAAACTAAATGGTGCTACTGAGGAAATGTGCAGAAGATGAACGTGCTGTGCATTCTACAGGTGCTGCTCACACAAAGCTAAAGCACCTCATCCCCAACATTTCACAGGGCAGGGCTTTCAAGCTAGTAGTTCCCAGATTAGTAGTTTACGTGTCACTGAAGAGCTGTGCATTACTTCAAATGCCAGGTTGGATATAAGGAAGAAATATTTTACTGTGAGAGTGATGAAAAACTGGTAGAGGCTGCCCAAGGAAGTTGTGGCTGCCGCAACCCTGTGAGTGTTCAAGGCCAGGTTGCATGGGGCTCTGAGCAACCTGGTCTAGTGGGAGGTGTTCCTGCCCATGGCAGTTGGGGGTGGAACTGGACGATCTTCAGGTCCCTTCCAACCCAAACCATTCTTGATTCTATGACACACAGCTTTGTAAGGGCTGAAAGTTGCCGCTGCTTTTGCCGCTGCTGGTTGTAGTATCTATAGTATCTGTTGTGCCTGCCATGGACAGTAGAAAAATCCAAACAAAAATATGTGCAAAGTCCTGGCGTATAGAAATAGTGAGAAGTTTATTCTTCTGTAAGGTTTCTCTAAACTAAATAGGAAGTTAATTGAAAAGAAAGAGACTGTCTGTGTGAAGTGCCTGCTCACAGCAGTGTCTTCCAGTGTGACTAATCACAGATTTTATACTGATGTTTCCTTATTGCTATTTCTTTTGAACTTCCATTTGGTGCTCATTTCAGTTTAACAAAGCATAACATTAAGAAATAAAAACCCCAGCGAGTGAGAACTGCACTGGGCTTTCACATACTCATTCAAAGGCTTTTTATTTTTAATTAGTAAACCATATTACTTGTTAAAGTTTGAATTGATTGTTTCAGAGATGCCGTGCAGTTCGACTCATGAAGACTGGTGAAACCATCGCTACGCACAGAACATCTTGGGGACCCCTATGTAAATCAGCTGGTGAGTCATGAAGAGATGCCTGAGGGAATATGAAGTAACTGTCACTTCAAGATTCTTTTTGACTGGCAAAAGAACGTGAAGACCTGTGATATAAGGTTTCCATGCCCCCCTGCATGTTATTCTGAGGAGCAGGCATTCTTACTGAAGCCATGTGGCAGTGTGAAAAAGCATGTGCCCTCCACGGTGAAGTGCCTCTCAGGTTGTCAATGGAATGTAGAAAAGAAAAGGATGAAGTGCTTCATGTAGCTATTTGCACAGGGTAGCAAGTACAAAAGGCACAAAATCAAACTGTTATTAAAATTGCAAAGTGTGAAAGCAGCTGTAATCTTTTAGATTGCAACCAGTCTTCCAAGTGTTCACGTTCTTGTTAGACAGCCATAATGCTGAGCTCTGAAGTCCAAAATAAGAGGAGATAAAGAGATGGTATTGTTGTGTTTCCTTGGATTCTCTGGCGTTGACTTCATTGCTACCATGAGAGAAAGTAGCAGAGCACAGCTGATGAACACCACCTTGATCAATCTGGTGGAGTGGTACAATACAGGTTAACAAAGAATGAACACTAGCAGTGTGTACAAGCAAGGTCTAATTTGTTACTCATCTGCCTCTTCTGCATTAACTCCAGCTATGTTTTCAAGGGCACTTGTGGCCTCTAACATTTTCAGGCATTTGGCCTCCTCCAGTCATTTGCATTCACATCTTATTCGCATAAAACAGTCATTGAGAGTATTTGTACACATCAGTATCAGGGTTCTAACACATAACTACTGGGAATAGATAGAAGTCACCCCCTTTCCTTCTGCTGGTTGCCTGTTTTGCCAGTCACTTAAGGCTATTTTGACTGTGGAGGTAAGTTAATGCTGGGCTGTTAGTTGGTTCAGGGTATTTTTTTCTTCTCTGCTGTGACAGTCACAATGTTCTTTTGGACATAGAAACTCTCTCTGGTTTAGCATATTGTATTTTTCTTCCATTATAGGCAAGTATTAATCTGTTAGGTGTTCAGCATTCCTTTCTGAATTAGTTCTTTGTTTTTTTTTTAAACTCGGCAATTACAGCTTTCTTTGTACAGCACTTACAGCGTGTAGATCTCACTCCCATTTTCACTGGAGATCCCAGTGCATTTCCAGTATTGATAAAGGGTCATTATATAAAAGGAACTCTGGTGAGCGGAACTTTATTTGTGTTGTACTACACTGATTCATAGGCAAAGGTGGCACTACTAGATGTTGTCTCCTACTTCCAATCTGGATGCTCACATCACATTTTAAATGTGAGGCTAGATCATGCATCTCTGTGTGGAAGGAGACAACATGAATTATGATGTCAGGTAAACTGCTGGCAGTGAAACATGAAAAAATCTTTAATTGCTCTGCCTATACAGCTTGGCCACATGCCTGCTCCACTGACCAGAATGGGAGCTTAGAGGTCCATCACACATAAAAAATCCTCCCCTAAATACTTTCATGTTTAAAAAAATGTTGCAGATGAGCATAAAGCAAATTAAGTGGGTTTTAATAACCATAGATGAATGGGAGCAGGATTAAGATAGGAGAATGCTTCACCTCTAGGAAGATGAGCGTTTTATTCTGAAAATAAGGCAGCATTTTGAAGTCATCAGTGCTGACACTTTAATTCTTATTTTAAAGAAAATTACAGAGTTAAATTTGAAAGACACATCACTCTCATGTGTGCAAGGACTCTGCACTTGTATGTAAAAAGAGAACTTGGACTGTGGCTCACATACTTTTCCATAAGAATCACCCACCCCAAAAGGCTGATTTACTTCAGTATCAACAGCTCTGTGCTCCAACGTGCATTTTGGCTAATTTGTGGGCAAGGCTTTTTTCTTACTTAGGAAAAGATTTGGGAATTTAAAACCTTTTTTTTCAAATCTTGGGGTTTTTTTTCAGGATCTGATTTGAAGAGACAGAAGGAGGCTGCCATGGGAGTTGGATACATCATCCTCATTGCCTTTGCTGTGTTTGGCGTTGTGCTGGGAGTTGTGAGCCTTCTCATCTTCACATACCAGAGAAAGACGGGAAGATACAACTTCAGAATCAAGTCTGACAACTTCAGCTACCAAGTGTTCTACGATTAGTGATTTCCAGATTACCAGATGTAAGAACTGAATTATGATCTGTTACTTTTATTTTTTTTAGCTGTTTATCTCTTCCTGAAATGGTTAAATACTTGCAGATGAGCATCCTCTGTTTACGGGCATTTGAACCTCTTGTCCTGTTTGCTGTGGATGGAGGTCATAGAAATAAGAATGAAATTTCTACTGTTCTTGCTGTTTTCAAATGCTACAGACTACAAAGGAGGAAGACAGCTTTCTCTTCATCTTTCTTCATGACTTCAGTCTCGGAGTACATGGTACACCACTTTAGAATTACACCAATGACCCGTTCCACAAAAAGTGTATCCCTTTTGGTTTTGGATCATGAAGTGGTATAACAAGAGAAATTTTACCACTCTCTTTATCAATCTGCTTTGGAAGTTATCCCTTTGTGCAAAAGCTTGGGTTTTTCTGAGTTTTTTTCTGTTTTTGTTTGTTTTTTTTTTTTTAGGGTGTGTTTTTCAAGAAAATAGTGGGATTTTAGACATAAAGAGCTTGAAATATTATTAATGGATCAGCAGTACTTACAAGGGCCTGCAGAGAGTCTGGAAAGACAGCTCTGAGGAGTGTTGACCACTACCATATGTTCTGCCTCTGCAACTTAAGAACCTAATACTTTTCCAGAATATCGCAGAATTCAGCACTTTTTCTGTAAAATGAGTATGTTCTAGCTACTCATCACCATTTGTATGTTTGCCCCTTTAAGAGGAGGAGAGATAGATAGGTGAGAAAGCTGGCTGCTGAAAAAGAACACCTAACACTGCTTCACAGCTCAAGGATGGGAACAGGCTTATTTGATGTAGTTACAAGAGTTTGTCAGCAACTCTTTCCTGATAGAGGCTTCATACAAGATAATGCAGCTTCCATTACCACAGGAAATCTTCTAGACTCATCATGATGGTATTTACAGAGAATTTAGTTCACTAAGTTCAATGACTCAGTATGTATCACAGAGAAAGGTCAGGGAAGACTTTATTCCAGCTATCAGTTCCCAGAATCTTCCACAGTCATGATTAGCTCTATTTCCACCAGTCTTACATTATGAAGACCATACTCTGTAGTCATCTATGGGAAGTTCCTAGGAAGTCACTATAGGTGAGGGTGATGCTCTGATTGCTTCCCAAAGGCTGAGAAGGGCTTCCTGTTAGGAGCCCAAAAGGAAGGTACCCAGGGCTTTTTGGTACAGTGCCAGCAGCTGTACAGTTCCATCAGTGATAAAGATCCCACCAGAGAGCCATAATCCAGTGTAAAGAGGATACGTAGGTCCCTGAAGTCAAAACCTATATATGAAGCCTTTGAGTCTCTCAGCTGAGAGAAGAATAGCTTGTCTTCATTCATCACTCTGAATCATTCATGAGTGGTCATGGGTGACTGCAATATTTGACAGCAATGGAAATTCTATAGTTGTGCTATGAAGCTGTAGCACAAAGGATATCGTAAAGCTCATAACATTATACCTTACGTTGAAGACTCAGCTAAGGGCTCCTTTTAGATGCTGAAACTACTCAGCTTTTATTTTCCATGTATTTACTTACCTTGGAAGGTAGCTGATTACCTTTCTCAGTCACACTCAGTTTGCTTTTTATTTTTTCTAGTTGTATCACGTCTCGTCACATGAAGAACTGAAGCTTGTCTTCATTCAGCATTTGGCTTTCATCATGCTTCACAATGGTGGTCATGACTATTTACAACACTGACTCTTCTAAACTAATGTTGTATATAAAAAGCTTCAATCCATCCTTTTATTTACTTATTTATTTGTTAATCTGGCTCTTCCCTGGTGTCCTGAGAACTATTTGCCCCTGCAGCTCCAGGTTGAAGTGAATTTTGGCAGGTTTTGTTAAGGATAAAGTAGAAGGGAAAAAGAAAGACTTACTAGTTCTCTAATCAAGTTCCAATATTTGGCTCTCCCACTGTGCAATGTTACCATGTGCTCATCTTGACATCACTTGTGCCATTACTACTGACAAGCTGCATGTTTCTATAAATATTCCAGGGAGTAAATCAAAAAACCCTTAGAGAGACTTCCTTTTCAGTTTGTAATTCACTGTTTACTTAAGGTGAGGTTGAAACTTCGAGCTACAGCTTCAAACATTGAAGACCTAATTGTGCAATGCCTTAAGCATACAGAAGCTGGAGAGCAAGTATTGGATTTGCCACCAGATAAAGAAAAGGCACCATGAATCTGAGGCTTAACCTATTCAAGAGTGTTCTTCAGCATGAGTTTTGAGATTTGAATGTAAATTCCTTTATTAACAAGGACTCAGTGAAAAAAAATAGAAAAAAGAAACTATTTTTGTTACTGGCAGCCCCATTTTTGCAGATATGTCAATAGGTACCTACATATTCTGTTTAATTACACCACAATCATTGTGCAGTCAAACCACAGAGTATGGTGCCCGCCTGAGTGAGAGCACTCCAATTGCAACTGAATTGGAGTTACGAATTTGAGCTGAATTTTGCCTAGCTGCAAGATCCTACCATTAGGGCAGCAGCACAGATTCAGTTTACATGCTCCACTGGTTACAACAACAGTCTGTTCAGCTGGATAAACTGGAACACAGTAAGCATCTCTGGCAGGACTCTTTCCTGGGGCATTGCTCTTCACTCTCTCAAACCTTCCAGCTCCAACCTTGGCTGCTCCAAACCTCCACTTCAGTGAGTGTGTTAGAAGATTGGAGAGTAAAGCATCGTGGTAACTTGTCCCCACCACCCCTTGATTCTGACTGCCACATGCACTCCTACACAGTGACAGTCTGCTATGTCTGGGTCGTATGTAATCCAAGCTAATTCCTCTATAAGTTCAATGGACACCGTTATAAATACATCATGTGGAAATTGGTCATTAACTTGAATTCACAAATACTCTTAGTAGCTATATCTCATATTTTGGATACTGTTGGTTTTTGTTGGTGGTTTTTTTTTTCTATTTTGGTACAGAATAGCATTAGAAAGCTGCTTTTTTCACACGTCACCCCCTCCACCCCCCAGTCCAATTTCTGCTAGCTATTAAGATTACTGGGTAAAGGACTTCTACATTTTGCAAAAGGTTGTACTGATTTATCTTTGGTTATATAGATACCTTTTAAATATATCAATAAATTTCAGAATAATAATTTGCATTCTGATTTTGATTCAAGTGAATCTATAAGGAACAGAAAACTTTGAGCTGTCATTTCTGTGCTGAAATACCAGATATCAGATCCTGATGTAAAAAAAAGTTCCATTTGGTTTCAATTTATAAATGAAACTGCAAATTATCTTTGCAATCTCAGAGTGTGATGAACATAACCACTAGCTTTTGATTATGTAGGTGTCTCTTAACTTTTGCTCAATTTGCTTTCAAATATATAATGTGTTTGCCTTCTGGACACAGTGAAAGGAGAAGCTATTTTGCTACAAATATTTTTCTAGTTTTTAGTAGTGACAGTCCTGAACTGTTTGAAAGTGACAGGACTAGAGATTTGCCTATTGATTTCAGCGGAGCTATGCCATTTACAAAAGCTGAGCCCTTGTCTTCAGGATGAAATGCAAAACTGTAGCTTGTATTTGGTACCCTCTATGCTCAGCAGAAACTGCTATTGTGACTGAGTCTGTTTAGCAGAGTTTTGGTGTCTTAATAAAAACATTGTTGTAACCTTGGTGGCTTTGTACTGTTATATTTTCCTTTTATGATTTAGTCACAAGTATTATGATGTGCATTGTGTGGATGTGGCAACTTCTAAAGAACTGCTCAAGTAGTAGCATAGTGTGCAAACATCACTCAAAACACAATACATAATGTTATCCAAACACCAACAGTGTCGTTGCCAGTCCCTTCTGAACATTTTATAGCCATTGGATGCAGTGCTCTGGTCATGATGTTTGTTCCAGCACATTTCAGTGATAGTGACTAGATTGCAGCTTGCTAGCTGCACAGTGGCTGATTTCAGCTCTTCCGTGCTGTGTGCACTGGTACAGAGGCACATAAGCCAGGCTATTGACCATGTCACCCTTTTTAGAGGAACGCACCCTAATTCCTTTGAGGCATTTCACAGGTGTTTCCTATCAAGGAGGAAATGTATGAGGTGCATTAGGATCCCTCCGTCTCTACTGTTTCACCCCATCTGCTGCTCAGACAAGTTTTGATTGCTTTGGAGGGTTTATGGCTTGACTGCTGTGGTTAGTTCCCCATATCAGTGATCAGGCAATTTCACCAGACAAGTCATTCTGAGAACAAGGAGAAATCTAGAGGAGCACACTGACCAACCCCATTGCCAGTCTGGTGTTGCACACCTTTTGTTCTGTTAAGGAAACACTGGATCTAGAAAATGATTTGAGACAATGGATAAAAAATATGGAGAAATGGAGATTTAGTTTTGACCTCTTAAGAAGCACTTAAGGTCAGTGGTATGTATGCTTAGTGTCTCTATGGTTCCCTGAGAACACAACACTGTTGATGCCTGATAAAAAGACACATCATTAGTCCTTTCTCTCATATTATAATGTTGCCAAACTCTGGTCCCAGGAGGGTTGGGAAAAAGCTGATATAATTGGAAAATTTCCTTGTCCATTAAAATATAAAGGAGCTGACTTTTCAATGTCTGTCTGGAAAGTTTTCTTGTAGGCTGCGGAAGGAAACAGGTTAAAGGAACTGAAAATGTCTAGCTGCAATTAATCTAAAAACATGATGTTGGCTACCGGTATGGATCTGGTAAGAAGCTGAGAGCACAGAGCCACCTAATGGCTTCTTTGATTTGCTCCATAACATCCACACTGCCTGGGGGTCTGTCCTGCAGGGCTTGTGGCGAACCTGCAACTATTTTCCTCTCTGTAGAATAACTACCGTTCTTCAAGACAACTCTCTTTTGTTTTTCAGATTTCTCTTCTCTCCTTGCTGTCTCCTGGTCCTAGCAGGCCAGCTGTGGACAGTACTTCACTCTAGAGTTATCAGGGAATCTCTGCCTCTTTCTTCAACTCACCTCTCTCCAGCTGTGTGGACAGCTGTCACCTCTTGCTAAAGAAGCTCTCGGGCACATAGTCTGGATGTGACACTGTCTGCCAGGGGGTAACACAGGAGACTTGTCAATGCAGCACCTTTCCACACACAGCAAATTCCCCTGGAAGTGGAAAACATCCCACTGCCTGTTCCTGGGGCATGCATAAGCATCATATTTGCTTCATACTCCTCCCATGCTACCTGCCCTTTCTTCTGCACACTTTAGGCTTCCTTTTTATGTTTGAATTTGTCCAGGAGCTACTTGTTCATCCACACAGGCCTCCTGGCATCTTTGTCTGACTCCCTCTTTGTCAGGATACATTGCTCCTGAGCTTAGAGGAGGTCATCCTTGAATATTAACCAGCCTTCTTGGGCCCCTCTTCCCTCCAGGGCTTTATTCCATGGTACTCTACCGAGCAGACCCCTGATGAGACCAAAGTCTGCTCTCTTGAAGTCCAGGGTAGCAACCTTGCTGTGCACCCTCCTTGGCATCCTACGGATCTCAAACTCCACCATTCCATGGTCACTGCAGCCAAGGCTGCCCTTGAACTTCACGTTCCTCACCATATGAATGAACTTCACATTCCTCACCATATGAATGGCTTTGCTGGGGAGCTGAAAGCAGTAAAAGCAAAGATGCACTGTACCAAGACATGGCACAAATACCGGTTGTTGTTATCAGTGGGAAGACACTACATTTCTGATTACAACAAAGGAATGTAGTAAGTCAATAGCACAGGGCCATTTCAGGTGTTCCTTTCTCTGATGTGTGTGGATTTAGTCCATGAAAATACCAATATTAGTTTAAGAAACAGCTCTGGGGGGAAGTGCTAGAATAACAAACCTGGAAGTTACTAAACGTATATGCTCCCAGGGAGGCCATGAAATCTCCAGTGGTCTGTATCAGTAAGTAGCAGAAGAGGGACACTATTTTATCTTCAGAAGTACTGTCTCATAAGAGAAGCCCAGGATATAGGACATCCAGTATATAGGGCAAGAACCACAGTCTGGACATCCTTGCATACAGATTTTGGCTTTCATAGAAGTCAGGTGAGAGTCAGATGTCATTTCAGGTAACAAGGTGGTACTTCTGATACATCTGTACGACAACAGGATAAGATGTTACGGCTGTAGCCAAACAAGCGAAAAGGAGGAGAACAAGCAAAAAGGTAGTCAAATAAATGCTGGGAAACTCAGGAAATTGCCAGCAGTATCAAGTATCTCTAGTATCTATGAGCTGATTTTTAAATGGACTGCAAAATGTAGCCTCAACCAACCTATCAGCTGTGACATTTGGTTTTGTCTTGTGCTCTAGAAAAGCTGTAAAAATCAAAAGTTGGATTCAGTAATGTCACATTTAGTAAACATCCCGTTTACTTATTTTCATATCCTTTGCTGAGTAACTTAGGGGACAATGTTATATTCTCACTGAGCAGTGTGATGCAGTGCACAATTAAATATGCTAGACTAAGTTTAAGACAGGTGCTCATATATAATACTTAGTCTCCCAAAGTTGGCACTAGGACAAACACAACATCCTTCTATTTTCACATACTAGTAATAGCCACATTTGTTCAAAATATTGCTGATCCAGCCTTTCAAATTGCCAGATGCCAAAGACAGCTACTAAATAGGAACATTGTTTGTGGCTGGCATTTCATATCAAAGCTCTAGACAGTACAAGAGGCAAAACCAGATATTTCCTGAGTGGATTTGAAGAGTTCAGGTATTACTGAATATTAGCCATGAATAATCCGCACTGTCAACAGTGTTATTAGCTGCCAGCACATTCCCAAGGATATAGTGATATTGTTTGCTGAAAAGATTTTACCTAAATGAAAATTCTACCCAAATGTGTCTGACAGAAAGGCAGTCTCTTCTTGGAATTCAGAGTCACCTTCACAGTTTCTTGGTGACTGGGGGTAAAACTGTGTTAGCCTGTTGAGAATACTGCTGTCCCATAACTTACCACACCGTACCTGATCCGCTTCCAAATATCAGTGAAAGTAGCTCCATAATGCCAGCTTGTAGTGGAACTTGGGGTTCCACAACACTTCTCAGTACTTATATCAAGCTTTCCTATTTTTCCCTTGGATTTTCCCAAAGGAACCCTTTCCCCGTCCAACCCAAACTATTCTGAGTCTATAAATAGCAAGATAAATCTCTTCAGCTGAAGAAAGGCTGGTGTGGAAAGCATGTAAATTTCCTCTTCAGATCAGCAGAAGCATAAACAAGCCCTAAAGCTCATCTCTTATGTTTAATTCTTACCCTGTTGTGTAACACTGCAAAGCCAGTTGCCTCCTTTTGTTTTCCAGATATCATAATTACAAAACCAAGGTGTGACAACTGTACTACACATGCTAAGATAAGCCAGCAATGACTTATGCATGAAGGAAGTACTGTTATCTTGTTATTTCCTTGTGTGATTTTGCACTGATGCACTTTCCTTCCCAGCACAAGGTGGAAGCTGTTCAGTATCTGAAATGAAATTATTGTTTCATTTGCACTACAGAATGAAATACTGTAGTGAGAATTTTCAAGTGATTTGGCACATTATTCCTGTTAATTCACTAAGCAGAGGATATATAACTAACTGTTCAAAGTAGTTTAAAACCATGCCCCAAATATATCAATCAATGCATGTTTAAATTTTATTTCCTGGCTATGCGGATGGTTTGTAAGTGAATTAAGATAAAAACTGGAACATTTAATACTAAGAAAAGCAGACTTTCATTGGAGAAGTTTAACTTCTGATTTCTAACTGAGTCACTTTCTGCATTGCACTTAAGAATCACCGAGG